ACAACTCAGAAGGAGCTGTTCAAGGGTATTGAACCCTAGACTTTTGTACAACTGCGAACCGTAGTCTAATCAACCAGGTTAGAATAGTCCAGTGATAGAAATACGGGAAGCATGTGAGAGATACTGTAGATGATCTGAGTGCCCGTGACTTGAGGGGCGACCATGGTAATAAAACCGACAATAAGCCTCTTTCGATAATGAGGAAGGCGGAAAAGATCCCAGAAGGACAATTGTTGTTGTTTTTCAAAGATGATTTGCTCACGCAGGATGGCAAAATCGGCTCTGAGGGCTGCTTCGTCGCTCAAGAAGGCATCGGATGTCTCTGCGCGGACACGTTTGAAGGATTCGAAAGCCTCCTCAAACCGATCGTGATCAAGCACTGTTTCCGATTCATCAGTACGCATGTCACTAACAGCGAGAAGAGGAGCAGAAAGGTCAGCGCAACATACGCCATCTTGGGGTTTCTGGCAGGAACAAGACCCCGGCAGCAAGCGCAGCAGGCCAAACCGCCTGGATGGCAAGAGGGAGTCTCCATTGTGCTCCGCCGGCATTAACAAAGTAAAACCCTAGGCCGACCCAGCTGGCGGCTGAGTAACCAACACACAGCATCACGCCGTGCATGGCGACAAGGAAGCCTCGAATCTTGGGTGGAGCAATTTCGCTCTGATAAAGCGGCACCAGCGTAACGAGAGCGCCTGTTAAAGAGGGCTATGATTAGTCTCTCTGCCGGAAGCTGGTTGTCTTTCGAGAAATAGTGCAACCTACCGATCCCAACGCCGGTGAGAAATCGTGAAAAGATATACATTCCAATATTCACACTACCGGCTTGGAGAGCTCCACCCACGGTGGTTACCAGACTCGCGTAGAAGAGTGCTTTGCGTCGACCCAACCAGTCGGCAGACTTCAGACATGACAATGTGCCGAAGAAACCGCCGGTTTGGAAAAGGCCAAAGATTGAACCGGTCAGATCTGTGGCATTGGACCTAGTATCAAGGGCAAAGTAGGCGATGAAGGAGGGCTGCGCAAGGGTCGTGCTGATGATTGAGGCGCAATAGCCATAGGTTGTGCTCCCAAGCGCGACGAAGATGACGATCTTTTGAGAAGTGAGTACATGGCTTCTAGAATAATGGTGCTTCTTGCATGATCGACTTACGAGCAGACGAAGTGCTGAGGCAGATAAAGCCATTTTGGTCCTCGCATGGATTTTTCAGCCAGAGAGAATTTGGGATATCCAGGAAGAGAATCTGGAAAGACCTTTCGATGAATAAATCAGATTTCACAGGGGTACAGCTATATAACTTGCATGAGGCTAGTTAGTGCTTTGCCACGTTTCCAATATTTCTTTGAAAATAATGGTGCGATCTTCCTGTACCCCAGAGTTGATGCTGGAAAGGGGAAAGGACAATATGCATGCCGTCCAATCGAGTTCTGACCTTGCTAAAGCAAGGAGGTCCAGAACGACTCGTTCTCACGAGATTGGAGGACCTTTTGGGGAAGCTTGGGGAAGGCAAATTCTCCCAAGAGAGACTGTGAACCAAAGTCAGGCGCTTTCAAACCAAATTGACTTTGGGCAGCTATCTAGACCCCGTCTCGTATTGACCATGACGAGAAGACCCCATGGGGACCTCATTGGGGACGCGCCATCCTTGGAGAATCATGGCAGACAGAGGGCAGACTAAAGTTTAGCTAAAGACACAAAAACGAGGGAGGTGCTTCCCGTACTGGCTGATCCGAAGAGATGTGGTCAAGCAAAACCGACGTGTTGCCATCTGGGGAGCCGTTATTGACACCCGCGAGAAAGTGGGTCTGCCTTCCAAATCAAACGACAATGTAAGTCCAAGAGACAAAAGGAACCCATGTGAATGACTTCAAATGACGGTGGTAGAACGGGAGCTCTTTCCATAAGCGCAGCGCCAACTAGACTTCCCCTCCGTGGCCACGGCGGCGACCTATAAGACCGAAGACCGTGATGCCAAGGACTCAAGGCCCTCCACGGCGTCGTCTGGTTAGATAATAGTCGATCAGGAATTATAAGAGGCTTCAATTTGCGCCAGTCTAGCGAGCTGTTCTCGCCGTCATGGGGTTGACCCTGACACTGAGGGTTCTGACTCCGCACTTGGCTCTAATAACGGCAGCCTATCCTGATCGAGCCTGGTTACCCCAGCCTTGTCGTGGACCTGCCAGTTGTGTTGGGTCAAAAGAGTCTTGGCTTCGAAGGAGCGGAGAGCGGAGAACCGAGGTGAAAGAACAACTACAAAGTTACTTGGTAATGGAAAATCTTCACCACTACAGCAACAGGCAAATCCAAAGCCAGCACGTGAATGAACTGGAGGAAGTGCTTTTCCTGCTTCTCCAATATTCTCCAAGAGAGTTGGCTGTCTGTGATATCTGGTTCATGATGGCAACAATTCAATATTCGACATTGGTAGAGTCTCGATTGGCACTTTTTGGACATATCAAGCAACCGAACGAGCCAGAATCAGGAACACCAGAGAAAAAATGGCTTTCCCAGTTGCAGGCAAGAATGCCATCGTCACAGGTGGCGCCTCAGGTAAACTCGAAACTCACCCAAGCTGTTTTGTTAGTTTGAAAATACAACCCAAAGAGCTGAAGCTAATCTTAAGTGGTAACGAACAGGGATAAACCTCGCTTTTGTTAAACTGCTCATCAGCAAAGGCGCCAACGTCATTGTGGGCGACATTCAAGAGTCTTCTGCATTCAAAGAATTTGAGAACGAGCCGCGGTCAACCAAGCTTTTATTCCAAAAGACCGACGTGTCGAAATGGAATGAACTCGAAGCCCTCTTCAAACGCGCACAGGCGGAATTAGGATCTCTAGATATAGTATGCAACGGCGCTGGCGTATTCGAACCGGTATGTCTGGCCATCAAACCTTGCTGTCGAAAAGCCTAGGCATTGCTTGTTGACTTCAATCGTCCACCACAGGCATGGTCCAACTTCTGGAACGACACAGAGACAGAAAGCTACAAATCCCTGGACATCAATCTCGGAGCCCTCATCAAAGGTACACGGTTAGCAATCCGAGACCAGATCACACGATCCAAGGGCCGCAAGGCCGGTGGCACGGTGGGAGTTATCCTTAACATCTCGTCCTTAGCTGCGCAACGTATGCTATTCAACCAACCGATCTATAGCGCCGCAAAGGCCGGGGTATCGGCCATCGTGAGGTCTTTGGCTCCTCTGCACGAGGAATTTGGCATTAAAGTGGTCGCCGTCGCCCCGGGAATGGTGTATACGCCGCTGTGGTCAGATCATCCCGAAAAGCTCAAGGCAGCCCATGAAAAGGACATCTGGATCACTCCCGAGGAGCAAGCCGCGGTCATGCTAGAAGTGGTTGAGAATGGCGACTACGAGGGCGGCACGGTGTTGGAAACGCTCAAGAATTTTACCAGGAGGGTGTACATCGACAGCCCGATGCCCGAAGGTCCAGGATCAACCATGTCCAACATAGATCTTATCACAGAGGACACTATAGCACTATTAGAGGCGGAGAGGAAGGGTGGTAAGGTGCAAAACGGTGTCTAACGTCCAATAGCCTCATACAAATACAAGATCGAAGCAAACGAGAGGTAATGGAAAGACTTTCTCCTCTTCTCCCAAGGACATTCTGTTGTAGCCTTCAGCATCATCCCATTTTCGCAAATGATTACATGGCAGAGAACCCGTACCACATTCTCGGAACAAAGGCACAGTGGGAAATACTCTAGTTTAGGTGTCATATCATGGGTCTTGCGGATGTCAGGGGTGACCTTGCATACCTTTGTGACCACGTGCAGACTCCGGTACCAGAATTCTGCCCCTTAGAAGTGTTTTCTCTCTCTTTCAATTGGGGATTAGTGTCCCAAAAGTTCGCAGACCCCGAGATACTCCAAGCTCTCTTACTCCAAGAGCAACTGTGCACAGCTCATAGATCGCGAAACTACATCGACATTAACAAGAAGGTCTATGGGATCTTGGGGGGTTATCGAATGTGTCGCTTGCGACGCGCTACCGAGGAATATGCAGGAGCTCCTCTCTCCTCTCGTCCGGTACCGACATGCAGAGCGGAGAGCCGAGATATACTTTTTATGTAAGATGGCAGATGGTTAGCTGAAAGCGGAATGGGTCTAACTTCACCTCGAACAACCCCAAATTCGGATCTATCAAGCCGGCCATCGAGTCTGGGGGATGACCAACCTCCAAACACGTGTCTTGCTGGTCGCTGTGAACAAGGAGATCGAGCTATCGGAGGTTGCAAGCATTCCTAGATCATTGGAGTTCCAAGAACCATGAGCTTGGGGTTTGGGGATCTTGGACTGAGATGGAATACTTCCGTGAGGGAATGTCGATGCTGCGAAGCTCTTGGAACATCTGGACGGCGGATGATGCGTCACACGTTCGTTGAAGAACCCACCAAGTATGGCCTCCGCGTCCTTAATAAACCGTAACGGAACATGAACAAATGCTCCGAAAAGTTGTTCAGAGAATGATTGACATGCACCTGTAGGGGCTGGCTTGGCTCCCGAGGGTTGGTATTCATCGTTTGTCCTGAAGAATCGTGATTTTTGTATCTTCGTTGCACTTCTTGCACCACAACGACGCCATGTTCAGATTATTAAGTTAAGATGATAGATGCACAGGTCCTAGGCGTTAAGCTGTTCTCCTTTGGCGAATGCAATGAGTAAAGGTTTCATTCGTCGAGTTCGTATTAGAGCATTTGGTGAGCCGATTTGATATTGCAGGCACCTGTCACCTAGCTCCCTTGAGATATCTCGTAGAGGAATCTATCAACAAAAATAAACTTCCACGCGAAGAATGAATCCTGGAATGGGGAACAGCTTTTCAATCCGCAATCAATGTAGTTGTATGGGTACATATGTACATTGGCACTCTCTATCACTGGGCTTGGCGATTTGAGATGGAGAAGTAAGTCCTGCTCATCCTTCCATCACCTACTCTTTTCAATTCCATCATGGTTGACTGCATCGAAATGGTTCCATTATGTCTGCACCATCAGTTCACGAATATGCCCGCTTCCACCGCCTTGCTATTGATCACGCCTCCGAAGATCTGGTAAAGTACATTTCACAGTTACCACTTCGTGCCATTGAGGATGACCATCAGCTGTCCAATCCGGATTTCTCGACATTTTCTGACAAGCTCGCAGAACCGAAGTTGCAGCTCAGCCAGCAAGCTACCTCTCTGCTGGCCGAGAGCGTTCTGGACCACTGCCCTTCCATCAATTGGAGCCATTTTCTGCCAGACCGGCACCGTGTCCACAACCTGAAAATTGAGGAGACTCTGCTATCAGGGGACCACCAGACAGATGTTCGCCGTTTCAGGGGTGAAGCTTTGAGCCACGTGGATACAGAGCAATTCTTTGAGACGTGTTCTTTGATCAGTTCTGCATCAGGGCAGGATTTCCAAGATGAGTGGAACGACATCCAATCTGGTCACGCTCGGAGAGGAGTCGAACAAGAGCTGGAAGATGAGAGATGCCATACTACGAAAGAGGCCCTGGTACAATTGTCAGCTTCTTTGAAAGACCCTGTGAGCGAGGAAATGGAGGCCACGATACTCAACAGCTTCGGCTCCATGTTGAAGGTTCGCTTCCCGATCTCCTGCCTTTCAGACCTAACTGACGAAGCGAAGAAACCACGAGCGAGATCCTTGACACCCGTGTTGATGTCAGAGTCGCCAGGCCCACGAGTTCTGTCACCTCCTGATCTGGACTTCTCTCTTCGATCTGATGAAGATGTTGACCTGGATAGTCTTCTCCTTCAGCTGGAGATGGAGATGGAAGACAAAGACCAAATACCGTTCGACGGGGTCAGCAACGGAAGTCTGACGATGGCCGAAGGGATTGTGGACGCGACTAAGCTGGAGATCGAAGAGGATCTGAGAATAGAGACAATATGTGCACCAGTTGCTGAGTACCACCGAGAGAGAAGGGGCCTTGAAAGTCTGCGGCTTGATGTGCCAATGGTTCCTTCTTCTTCGCAATTCGAGCAACCGAGCGAGCAAGCCGCCATCTTGTCGCCTCCAGCAGAGCCTGGGCAACCAGATCGAGCCTGTCTCTTTACCCGAACTGCTCCACGTAGCCCCATCGTCGAGATTCAACCGAACTTAACAACGACAGAATGCACAGTCGACACCAGTAACCTAGGTTCTCTTGAAGATCTACTGTCCTCCACAACCGTTAAGTCTGAAAATGTTGGATTTGAGGCGAAACAACAGGATGACCTTGATGAAGACCTGATCAAGTTAGCCGACAAAGCGGCAAAGGAGACAGATACCTGGTTGAGACGCGACAAAATCAGCATACCAGAAGAATGTCTGAAACAGTCAGTGCCACAACTGAAACAATTTTCTGTCATGTCTTCGCATAACGGTCAAGGTGCCGAGTTTCTGATGGGCAAACTTGTTGAGATGTGCTTAATCAACCCGCAGACGGGAAACTTGCAGAACGAGATGAAACTTAACTGGTCACCCTTTCCGTCTCGTTTCATCAAGCTGGACCTTGTTGACAGTATTCAGGATGATGGCAAACTTCACAGCTTTCTGGACCCACCGCAAGCAATTACCAAAAGTGAGCAAATGCTCTGGAAACGGCCTGGCCTTCGCATTCTCGATACGAATTATGAGAGTGATGGTGAAATAGAGGAGGACTCTGAGCTGGCCGAGCCTATCGTCCCAGCCAAGAGACCCAAGCATGGATTGGACTCGCCCTGCACGTCACCAACCAAGAAGTCTTGCATGTTGGAGACCAACGGAATCCCGAATTCGCTAGGTTACAAGAATAGCCAGGCCTTGAACGTCTTCTCGACTTCCAATGCATTGGCAACATTTCTTGATCTACGAGGAGGAAAGTTCAAGAGAGTTGCACAACTACAACTACCTTCGGTAAACGAACTTGCAGACGATCCCATTCAGCCGACACAGTCTGAAGAAGACGGTCAGATCAGCCCGGCGCGCAGTTTGGTCTTGAAACCATCGGGAGCACTGGCCGAGTTGAACCCATCCATCATCCAGGTACCCTCAACACCGACCGAAACTGTATTTGCCGGTGGCAACTACGAGGTTTACCCACTCATGGAGTTGAAATGGCCTAGAACGATTTTGATCGAAACAGGCATTCTCGCAAGATACCCTTCGCTCATCAGCTTCCTAGAGACAAATGGAGGAACACAACTTAATATGATATATCGAGAGATGAGCCAATCTAACCGTGACCCACCCCTTTCAGCGTCTCCGGACATGATTTTGAATCCGACGACAGCTCTTATATTCACAACTTTGCAGGCATTGAACCAGAAAGGCTTGCCTGGACAAGGAATCGAAGCAGGCCAAGCTATGGTTCAGAGCAGAATCCTGAGACTCGGATATGACTACACCCAACTTTTCGTTCTGGTTACGACTCTAGGTCCCGAGGGGAGCATGCTGCAGTCACAGATTGACACAATGACCATTTTTGTGGGGTTCTGTGCAAATGCCTGCTATCGCTATGGCCTTCGTGTGCATCCTATTTGGGTCTTCTCGAAGCATGGCGGTCGATCAGTTGAGACCGCTCTTAGCAAATGGATCTGGAATCTGGCTTGCCGACACGGGTTTCCCGAGACTTACCCGTGTCAGTCCCTGCATCCGAAGATAGATACAGTTACAATCAGCAACGAAGAGACGCTCTGGGAGCAATTTCTAAAAAAGGCCGGCTTGAACCCTATGGCGGCCCAGGTTGTCCTTGGAGGGTTGAGAAGAGCAGACCCACCTGACACGACATTTGACCAGAACTGGGGGTTGAGGAGGTTCGTGGAGATGCACCCTGATGAGCGGAGAGACATGTTTGCCGAGATATTGGGACGGAGAGTAGTTGAGAGGATCAATGCAGTACTTGAAAAAGACTGGGGCTGAGGTGAAGAAGCAAGGCTTTCGCCAACGCACAATGCTGACAACGCAGGCTGAGCTTGCCCCATTATGGTGCAAGCTGCTTGACACATCTTGGGGCTGTTGCGTGTTTAAGCTCCGAGATGCGCAGTGCCAGGAGTATTTTGAGGGAGTAAAGGATAGAGTGATACATTTTGATGCATACAGAGTGCAATAGATTTTGTTGGGAATAATAGAGCAATCTCTCATGCTCCGGGCGTGTCAAGCGCAACAAGCGCAAGTTTATGGATGGATCCACAGCCGCAAGGCTGACCAAGGCTGGCCCCATGACGTACCCGGCAGATCGGGGACACGGGGCGGCTGCATTCGATAGGCAAACCGCAGCAACTGAGCAAAGACACAAATTCTGCCGTTCATTTTTGTGTAACGTTAGACCTTTCTGCTCGCTCGGCCTTTATCACGCGCTTTTCTATACCGTCGCCACCTATTCCTTGCTAGGACTGCTTAGGCCGCCAGACTCAGCTCCGGCGACAATACCTCGTAATCCCCACCCGCCATCCCTACCATCGTGGCTCCTCCACTCCGCGGTTTGACGAGGTCCCGTAACGCCTTCTCCCTCCTACGCTACCTCTTCCCGAATACTCATCGGCGCGCACGCGAAAGATATCTCGGCTTCCGTCACGAATACATCCCTCAACTGCGTCTCCAAGCACAGTCGAGCATCTACCGGGCCATTGTGCGCAGGCAGCAGAAGAAACGAGAAAGGAGAGAAGCGAGCAGAGACCTCGTCCTATTCTTACGAAGGGGGATTGTAAAAAGCCGGTTTGTTTCATCCCTGCGAAGGTACATCGGGAAGAGCCGTATCTTGAGAGCTATATATGGAACACCGCACCATGCTGGTGGTCGACACAGTTGGAGGGGAACGAGATCAACCTCGGCAGCCGATCAGATGACGAGTTATGGCGGGAATCGGGTGCCAGGCGCCAGGAGAGAGAAGGTGAAGGGGTATTTAAGGGCAGCGAATGAGCTGAGACAGACATATCAGGCTCAGATACAGCAAAAGCTGCAGGAGAGCGTTGGGGATGGAGGGATGTCGAGAGATTGGCCCGATGTGGAGATCGTGAGAAGTGAGAATGAGGAAATGCTCCTGTTCCCCAGTTACGCGAGGAAACATACAAGGCGGAACAACCGACAAGACGACGCCACTAGATACCCGCCTGGGACGCACGAGTCCGTGGAAACGCCACACAGTAGCGGAGATGCAGACTATTGGAAGCGAGAATGGGAGAAATATGAAGATGCGAACGCCATCATCGACGTTGATGTACGTGGATGGATATATTCTCCCCAACAAGGGCCGCTGAATAGAAAGAACCGGCTTCTTGTTGCGGTCGCCAGAAGACTCAGCGGCATCTACGCTCCGAGCTCCAGCCCCGCGACTTCGCGTCCGTCAAGCCAAGCGCCTACCAATCGTATGCAAGCGGACGACAATTCATCCAGGTACGAGGACGAAGTCGCTGCGAGAGAAGCAGAGAATATTGCCCGTCGCGGACAGAGAGAAGCGGACGCGGCGGTCAGAGGGAGCTATAGTTCAACTCCCTCAAAAGGAGACACTCCCGCCGGAAGTCGATCAAACTCGCCAACACGATCAATGGCGGCATCCGCAGATTGTGATGACGAGAATCCCAGCGGACAATCGGTAATTAAGCGTCAATCGTGGAACGAACCCGCAAACATGAGCAGGGAAGAGCTGTCGGCGGCAAACGAATTATTGTTGGCTCGACTAAAACCCTTCATGTCAATGCCAACTGCAAATGTACCGATCACGGTCTTCTTCTTCAACCAGTCCAAGTCGACTTCAAAGTCTGTAACGACGGATGAATCAGGTCACTTCAATCTACGAGCTGCTTTGGATTTCGTCCCTGATCAGGTCCGGGTCCTGGCCTCGGATAAACTGTCTGCGGTAGAAGATGTCATCGTTACAGAGAGCAAGGGTGTTAGTCTGGTGAGCGATATTGACGATACGATCAAACATTCCGGCATTAGCAGTGGTGCGCGAGAGATTTTCAAAAACGCTTTCATTCGAGATCTCAGCGACTTGACCATCAAGGGCGTTAAGGAGTGGTACTCGAAATTGGCTTCCATGAATGTCAAACTCCATTACGTCTCCAATTCTCCCTGGCAGATGTATCCACTACTGCGCAGTTATTTCGCTCTTGCAGGTTTGCCTCCGGGCTCGTTCCACCTCAAGCAGTACTCTGGAATGTTGCAGGGGATATTCGAACCTGCGGCAGAACGGAAGCGTGGTTCGCTGGATCGAATCATGAGTGACTTCCCCGAGAGGAAATTCATCCTTGTTGGGGACAGTGGGGAGGCGGATCTTGAAGTGTACACTGATGTTGTCCTTGAACATCCAGGACGAGTGCTAGGGGTGTTCATCAGGGATGTGACAACGCCGGTGAAGAAGGGTTTCTTTGATCAAGCGATATCGAACTCACCGCCGGATTCCATGATTGCAAGAGATGGAGGACGACTTAGTCGGTCCCCTGGAGACATGGACAATGATGCTCCTGAGAAGAGGCCTGCTTTGCCTGAGAGACCAAGATCGATGGTCGAACCGAAGCTTGCAGATGGAGATCTTATTGATTTCACAGACGACTCGGATGCGAAACAAAGCTCCCTCAGGCCTCCTTCGCACCTGATCGACATGCGCCAGCTGGATGCAAACGGCAAACTGCATGCTCCCAATAAACCAAACAAACCCTCGAGTTTACGAAACTTCTCTACCTCCCAACCAACACCGCCCACCAACCACGAGAGATCATCAGCGTCATCGGATACAGAGACTCAAGAAGCCGTGAAGAAGAAACCGCCGCCGCCACCGCCCCCTAAACCGCGTCGGAGTGGACGGACAGCGGACACCAATGCTGGGCACGCCATGACCGAGCCGGCACTACAGCCTCTTTCCGGGGCGCCATTCTCCTCCCCGCGCCAGAATCAAAGCCAGCCGCAAATCCCCTCTGATCTATCCAGACAAACAAGCTCAACCTCGATTGCACCATCTCTCCCGCCTCCAATCTCCCGCACAACCACATCCGCCAGTAGCTCTTCACGAAACGATGATGGATATGTGGCCGTCGCCCGCCGGCAAATCGCTTCCGCATATAACGCGCTGCCAGCAATCCGCGCCTCCTCGCCTTCCCGCAGCGCGACCATTTCATCCGATCAAGGCGGCCTATCCGGCGACAACCGCTCAAACCCACCACTACCTGCACGAAGGGGAATGTCTTCTTACCCCGCTGCCGCCGCCCGATGGGCAACCGGCTCCGGCTATCCGGGCTCTGACCCTCTCGCAACTGCCAGTGATGGAAGTCCCATCCCACCACCCCCGGGCGCAACTGCAGTGTACGATAAGAAGTTGGAGATTTGGCGCAGACGATGGGCGAGGGCAGAAGAGATTATGCGCTCGAGAGGGGTGGTCTTGAGGAAGTGGAGGGTCGGCGGTGATGTTATGGACGAGTGTGTCGGGTTAGTGAGCCGCGAGCTGGAGTGGCAAGAAAGGCAGGAACGAGGGAGACACCAAAACAGTTGATCATAACGGAACTCCGGCAGGGAGAATAGGGCCCTTCAGGAATGGGATGAAGGACATTTTGAAAGAGGCAAGAGAGATCCTCAGAAGGGAGGTAAGGAAAGGAAAGTGGAAAATGTGTCGCTGCTTGTTTTTTTCGGAATACATAAAACACTAGGCGTGACCATTTTGATGCGGTATTTATATCTTTTTTTTTATTTTTGGCATTTCATACAATTCTCCATGATGTTCAATGATTAAGAGATTCGGGTTGTTTGCTTCATCTAAGTGCCGGCAATGGCTACAACTGGGTCGCGACGGACAGAAGGTTATAAAGAATTGAGAGAACAGGAGACAATCGATGCAGGAATGGGGGCAGAGGCTCTCGCTCAGGCAGACAGGACCATTTGCGCGAAGCAAGTGTTGTTTTCATTCTATCTATTTATCTCTTCGCCTATAGCGACTTTGTTGCTGGCCCAACTTGGTGCAGCGAAATCAAGAAAAGGAAAGGAAAGAAAAAGGGCAGCGCTAGAATTAGATGGACCCGCGCGATGATTGATTACGTGGGCATGGCTTTTGTACAGGCCTGGGGGAAACGTCGAGTTCTAGAATCACTGCCTTTTTTGGGTTTCGTTGCGGCAGTAAATTTCGTACAGACAGATCTCTACTTATGGCTCCTCTTGCGACGTACAATTGTGGTTAGGGGTGTACCTTGTCCCGCGGGGCCAGGCATACAGGCAATTCCAACAGAGATGAACGTCGCATGCGATACCTACAGGAGAGTAATCGTGGGTCAGTGTCTCATAAGAAAACACCAAGGGGGGAAAAACAAGGGGAGGATTGAAAAGGATCTCACGGACAGTGCATATGGGCGCACCCTTCATTCGTTGGATGCGGACCTGGCAGGCCGGACAGGCCCTGGTGGCGCGTCTGATCTCGTCCTGCGTCCCCTGGATGACGAGATCGCTGTGTCTCTTGTGGCTGTCGTACTCGGCGCTCGTGAAACGGACGTGCTCTGGTCGCTGGTGGCGAAAGCACATCCGGAAACTGTAGGCGCTGCACTTGACGCGGCTAGCTCTCTCTTCGCACAATCCCCCCTTGGTGCAGCCTTTCCCTAAACACCAGCGGAAGGTTGGCTTGGTAGGGATGTGGTTTAAGAACTTGTACCGTGCGAGCTAGAGACAACGGTCAAGACCTTCATCAGCTAAGGGAAATTCGCGATAAAATGGTGCCCTATGCATGAAGGGGGCAGGGAGGGGATGTTCTTACTCACAACTCCGGCGTCACTTCTGATGCTAGAGTTTGAACTTCGTTGTGTTCGAGCACCCTGCCGCATTCTGCGCACGACCGTTCGTCACACTTGGTGCGTCCTTTCTGCTCCAACTTCGTGGCCATGTGCTTCTGGCGGCAACCGGCACAGACGGTGGGTTCATGTTGACATTTCAGCATTGCCTTGGTGGGAAACACCAGCACCCTCTGCGTCCACGGTCCTGGAAACTCTAAGCAGCGACTTGGTCAATTTCTCCTAGCTGTCGATCTCGACGTCGTAGTAGAATTCGTCGCAGATAGAGTATATCCTCGGTATCGTGCTTCGGCGGATGAATCTAGCGAAAATAGGTATCGTACGACCGTCAGCATGGAGTTTACCTAAGATTATCCTAGTTCGATATCAGAAACAGCGTTTACGCTGAGCGGCTGGATCCATGGCGGAGTAGCCAGCTGCTCAAGGACTAGCAGACCTCATTTTTGACAGTTGGCGACCTGCGCGACCGGTGGCCGCAGGTCCAGAGCCGTGAGACCCCGCCGTTCCTAGGGCACTTATCAGCATGCTGGACGAGCGCGAACGAGGCGGAGGGTCTGGCGGACGAAGGGATCCACCTAGTCAGCGCTCCTCAGCTCGTCGGATTTCGGCACGCTGTTGGGACGTTATGGGAAGCATCGGTTCAACATTGTGAGGAAGCTGCAAGGACGGTGTATGAGTACTCTTGCCGCTTCCTAGTTTCCCTCAACTAGCAGCATTCGAGAGTTGTGCGATGCCGCCCAATCCCGATATTGTGCATGGGTCCACAGCCACACACAAGAGCCATTGCATTCTTTCCATATTTTGCTGAAGCGAGTGTTGTGGAACCAAAGAGTGTCAATACACTCTTGACGCGAATGTTAGTCCGAACAGAAACAAGGAACGCTGATAAAGACAGACCTTTCCTTTCTTTGTCAAATTCAATGTATTGAGCTTTTTTCTTCGCCATCGTAGGCGGTCGAAAAGGGAAATCTGTCGTAAAGAAGCCTTTCAGTGTGGGGAAGACTTCCTGCAACGAGTTAATGACTTCATAAGCCCTTGCTATAAATTCTTCGGGCACACAATCCAAAACGATGAAAAGAATACTGCGATTTTCCAATCGAAATTGCTGCACACAAAGCGGTCAGGAGATTCCATTCATTGCCGGGCGCTCGCGCTTTTAATATCTGACCGACCGCTTGTTGTAACTTTACTAGGTCGCCATGTCCGTTTAGTTTACGCGTATTGAAGAAATCGTCTAGGAGACTGTTGAGGGATGCTTCGACTATTGATCCTCGGCGCTGTGTAGGAGCAGACTGCATCACTTAAAGAAGGAGTATATGCACTGTCTTGATGAGAATAGGAGAAGCTGATATTCGTCTTGAATAGAACAAGGACAAAGTAGATGAACCAGCGGAAACGGCCCTAGAAGTCTTTTGATCCAAGAGTTAAGATGAGATTTGGCTGATCCCGCACCTTCTAGGTCCAGACAAATAAAGGAGCGCTGGAGTTGATGCGCTTTCCCACCTCTCAAAATCTTCATTACGGATCACCCACATGAACATAGAGTCGGAGGGATCCAGAGCTGGCGTAGCTGATGAGCAAGTTCCTACAACTGTGGCTGATAGCAACTTAAAAAATTGATCTGGATTAGTCTGCTTAGAGGACATTCGAACTTCCTGCGCCGTCAATGAAAAGTTATCTCAAGGTTCATAAGTGGCAGACAATTGGAAGCTCAACAGTTCAGAGAAGAGGGAGGGTACCACGGTACCAAAATGACCGTCACTTCAGGATTCTCAATTTCGGTATCGACATTGCGGCGCAGTGATTCTGCGATATCATTTCTTGCTTTGGCTCCGGGGATTATTGATAGGAGTTCTTTCGCATATGCAGCTGCTGCGGCCGCGGCAAAAGGTTGCCATTGTTTGTTTTTGTGGTAGTCGGCGTAATCCAGATTCCCCTTATCACAAGGCACAGCCAGTTAATCATTAGACCCGTCGCTTCTATCTCAAAACACAGGACCCCGCCGAGTCGAGAGCTGATCGAATCCCTGTCTTTGGCATTTTTTATAACACGATTCCGACACGATTCCGACAAGATATCGCGCCGTGATGGACAATAACCGAGCCATGTTCCCGAGACTCCCGGTTAACCTTTTGAGACCGATCACAGTCGCTGCAGTTCGGCCTCTCATTTGGGTCCTCGCAGAAGCTTTCGAACAGAACATCCGATTCAGGACCAGGCCGCTTGAAATTTGCTGAATTTGTTATAAGGTTAAGGTGCGTCGTTAGACCGTGATCTCCACCAAGGTGGCGTGCTTGGAGATTTACAAGCGCCTGGAGGAGAGGCTGTGGCGGAGAGTCGAGAAACCCAGTCCGTTTTGAATCCTTCAGGCAAGGATTTTCCAAGGTCGTACTGTATTATTCCTCCATGATCCGCAAATGGCGGACTCACAACAACATCTCATAATCTGATATCGGATCGAGCGTCTCCTGGTACACCGCCCGCGGGAACTTTGTGCTCATTCTGCTAGCTATGGAAGCAGCCGCTCCAATGAAAATCTGCCCTGCCGATAGACATGCAATGGCGACGTTGTGGTCTCTAATACTGCCAAGGGTATACTGAGTATCGTCTCGGGGATCAAGGCGCTGTTCCTGGTGGGTTTCATCCAGCATGAGCTGCACAGCGGCGAGCGCTGTCGGTAAAGCGCAAAGTATCTCATGCCCTTGAGAATCTATGCTGGCCATCTGTGGGCAGGGAACGTTGGATGTGTTAAACTCTGACTACCTCAGCCTTGTCGATTTCGCAACGAAGAGGTTTGGAAAGAATAGATTTCGTGCCGTCGGAGAACTCTTCCTGCTTCGTAACAATGACTACAAATAGCAGCAGATAGGATGTTCTAGAGACTATGATGACCGGCGTGACCACAAATGACACTGTAATTCCCAGGAGGAAAGGCTGGCGAGGTTGAATAAAAAACATCGATGCATGTCGCTCCCACTTAATTAGTGCCGCCAAGGCTACTTCCGCATTTACAGTAGGACTTTAGGACGGTGTGATCCGCCTGCACTCTTCAACCCCGCCCAACCCACCATAACCCAAATGATTCCAGCCTTCTCACCACGCCATCCTGACCAAGTGAATTGCCACTACCGACTCCATACTCCGTATAACCTTACAGAATCATCAACACAAGCCCGCAGTTGTGGCAATAGCAGATGTTTTACAATGGATACCATCAAAATGTTCACACGAGTTCTAACGGCCACTCCCGTGGTAAAGAGATGCTGACCAAGGAAAGCAGAAAATGGACACTTCGCAAGGGTTTTCTGGGATACAGACAATTTTGCCCGGGGAAACCAGTTGTAGGTTATGTTAGAAACGGAAGTACTTGTTGTGCAGACGCCACCCACAAGCTTTGGAGATCGTTTTGGTGTACCATTATACACTGCTGGGAGCGATCATTATGACCATTTCTGAAGGCGCCGAACTCCATAAGGAATCGTCAGACATTCTTCAACATGAAGACTTTCCTATTACATGTCAATGACACTCAGAGCAAAGAAAAATGGGTGGTATCAGATCGGATCTGGATCTATTGTAAGTCGCCATCGTTGACAAAGGCACGGCCTTCTTGAGCTACACTATCCTTCAGTCTTCTAATACAAACACCCCAAAGGGATGATTATGATACCACTAAGCTTGCTAATACTGATCTGTTATGCATTCTGGGAAGGATATCGAGGCCTTATCGAGGAAGGATTGTGGAGGCTTTCAAAAGGTCCGGAGGAGTTTCCAATGATGATATTGCTATCCAATATACTCTAAGATACAAGATGGGGAGCAAGAGACCGAATACAGCAGTTCCCGTTACAAGGTACTTCTGGCTCTCAGAAGGGGTTGGGGTCCTTTCAGAGCATTCCTTGTCCAAGATAATTACATTGCACCCATGCCTATAGGGTTTTTTGAAACAGTAGCAAATACCTTGTTAAACTCAGGAATGTTAACAGGCGTTCGACGGACATGTGCATCGATCCCAGAGAGTGAGTGAAGGCTGCTTTAACCTGAGCGTTGGCAACGGCTCTCTGTAGACTTCGGCAGCTACATCACAGGTATTCTAGATGACTTCGTACAGGTCAAAGCCTTTGAAGCTACACCCGGTCCTTCTATCCTTTGACATGCAAAGAAACCGGGAAAGTAGCAGAGCTGTATTCGCGAATGGGGTCTTGAAACGGAGTAGTCTTAGTTTACGATGCGGGCGTTCGCTTTCGCTGGCAAAGTGGTACTCGGGTTGGATCGTTTCACACCTTAAGCATGTATCATTGGCTGACTAGAAGTGGTCTGATTGGAGAGCGATTCTCAACTTCAAGACGTCAATTTCGCGAGCATGTCGTTTGTCTTCTGATCTTCCAAAAAGCGTACGGATTTGCATAAAAGCCGCAAGCCCATTCTCAAAAAATAAGAAATTTCCCTCAAATTAAAAGCAAGCGAGATATTAAGCAAAACCACAATTTGACGATTTTGATCGAGTCTGTTGGACGATGCTGGGTATGGCCCCTCTCGTCAACTCCAGGCGGTTGCTGATATGAAGATGGGGTAGAAAAACATTCTCATTACGAAAGTCATACTTATCACTGTTTCTCGCGACACACCATAGCTTCGCTTTTCCACCTGATTTGGCACCATCGAGAAGGTGGCCATCTGCATGCACAAACAAGAGCTGATCAAAGCAATTGCAGACACATGCGGCCTTACGCAAAAGGATCTAGAGATGGCACTTAATAGTACCTTTCTTCCATATAGAACCAATATAGTTGACGAAGCATCGAACAGGGGACAAGATCGTCCTAGTCGATGCTGCCACCTGACAGGTACGGCAAAGAGCCGCAAGGAGAGGATTAAATCCTCGAGAGATACAAAAGATCAATATCGTTCCACGTAAAGGACCAGTATTCCAAGCAGGAAAGAAGCTGAAACGTGCTATTGGCAGCCCTACCAAGAAATAACGAGGAAGCTAAAGTGCTGCTTTGGGGAGAATATTCTCATCAAGCCGTTAAGGCGTGAAGGACGAAACTTTTGGTAGGAATTGGCGAATCTGAGTAACTTCTGGGGAATTGACTTGCGGGAGCAAATCAACATCGTGTCGCTCCATTGCATATCTTGCTGAACCCTTTTCTCTCGCTGTTGCTCAGTCTGGGAAGGGAGATGAGTATCTCTTTTTTTCCCCCAAGTCACTTTACAATCGCGTGTTGGAAGGTTGATACTAGCCTAATTTAGCTAGGACGAAAATATCTTGGCAGTGCTGATTTACCCAGCGAGCCAGCCCGCCCAGTGCCCTGTAAATACCTCGCTGTCGTTCCACCTGGATTTCCCCCATCAATCAATCGACCTACCTGCACAAATATTTCTGGGCCCCATATCATCATGTACAAGCACCCCAACTCTGCGTTGATCTCATTCTCTCGCCTACAAGTACAAGTACCTAGCAAGTAGGAACAGAAACAACGGGGACTGAATATTGGTCCATTTGGTGGCTTGACAATCACATGTCCCCGAAGACCCCGACCAAGTTTGGCAATCACGCCACCTGCAAGCCAAAGAATGTGCAACTAGTCCGACAACGGCACGATCGAGGACGTCACCATAGCACTATTCAGAGGACCCTCCAAGTAAAGCCCGACTCTCTTTGTGGACCTCACGGCGTACGGAGTCCCCCCGTAAACATCATTAAGAAAGTGGAGCAAAATAATAGTCCCAATCTGACCCTTGCTGCACTCCGGATTCTGCATCGAAAATTATCTGGCGGTAAAGATCGAAAAGTGGCTCATCCACCTCATCACTGGTCAGGGCAAGACACTGTGAGCCATCGTTCGAATATGGCGTGCCCGAAAAGCTGGTCGTCTGAAAATCTCGTTGCTGTGAACTCTGTCTCCCTTGTCCTTCAGCCCTGGTCAGAAAGACGTTGCTGTTGTTGTCGACGGGGACTGATTCACTGCAAATAGGAGGAAGCGCTTCATTCGCAGAGTCCAGAATGCCCAGATAACGGAGCATGTCATTCGAAGTCATGCCATCCGCAAATTTAGACATTTGCTCGCGCTCAAGGTCACTCTTCCATGGGAGCTTGTGAAACATGGTGCGAAGGCCAGCTTTCAGTAAGCGATTCTCTTCTGTGATCATGTCGAGATATCTGTGGGTGTTTGTACCTGGTCAGCATGCTTCAAAACCGAGAAACGGAATCCGAGCATCCTGGAACATACCCGGGAGGGTAAGTAGTCTTTGTTACCGGCCTGGTCCGAAAAGTACAGATGGCCTCAGTTCGTTGGCATTGCGCACAGGGAGTTCTACCATCGCACTGTTCAATGAACTCTGAGCCCAATTTCTGCTGGTCGGAGTGTACCCACCTTTGCCTTCCGGACTCTGCAAGGCTGACAAGCGTGACGAACTCGCTGGCCTTTTTTCTCTTCAATTTGACCCATTCTCTTCGTAAAAAAAAAGCCAACAAATTCGATACAGATGAAGAAAGATGGTTTTCGACCAAAGGTAAGGAATCAGTTCCACAACATCAAAACAGAGTCCAGCTCTTTATGCTGACGTCGCTGCGCCTGCATGTCTGGCCTTGGACTGTACCACGCTCGGGGTTTAACAAAAGATGCACTCTTGGCCCTTACTCGAAATGGTCCAATCTCGAGGTCACCGAAGATCTGGATCTTTCGAAGCCACAACGTCAATGCTAGTGACCCTGTTTTCCTTATTAATTACTAATTACAAAATCAGAAAGCTGGACCCCGATGGTGTGAGGACTTAAGCCTTGCTCGTATTCACGTGGAATATCATGATTTCCTGTCTGATCCCCGAACCACCCAAGCGCCCAGGAAGGAGGCAAACTTCTACATGTTTCAAGTTTAAATTTATTTCTTTTACCTGGTACCCTACTGGGAGCGTCTCAGCTCAAAGTTGGCACATAATCTAGTCGTCTTCAGTGCATCGACATCAAAATGGATGAAGCCCAGAGTCCAACAATGGAGAAACCCCTTGACGGTTCCGCCGCCGAGTTGAATCGTATTCGCACTTCCCATCTCATCAACGATGTTGTGCTGCATTTCTCTTGGAAGAACCTAAATGTCAACGTCAAAGACCGCGCGACAAAGAAGCCACTCCGCATACTTACTGATTCTCATGGTTTCGTCGAGGCTGGTGAGCTGCTGGCCATCATGGGCCCGAGCGGCTCAGGCAAAACAACTTTACTCAACGCAATTGCACATCGACAAGCCGCTGCAGGGGCAAAGACAACCGGAGACGTCATGGCCAACGGTCAGAAAATGGACTGGAAGAAAATCCGGCAACTGTCGAGCTATGTAGAGCAAGAAGACGCCCTCATTGGCAGCTTAACCGTCCGTGAAACCATGAAGTTTGCAGCAGGACTGGCATTGCCCAAGTGCGTACCATTCTGTGTGATGAATCTTGATTTTGCTGCTCTCACTAACTTGTCACCAACGTAGTTCGGTTTCCAAGAAAGAAAGAATGCAGCGAATTGACGACCTGATCGCTAGTTTTGGTCTACAAGCACAGGCTCACACCATTGTGGGCACTCCGATCAAGAAGGGTCTCAGCGGCGGACAAAAGAAACGGCTTGGTGTCGCAAGCAGACTCATCACAGAACCCAAAATACTGTTCCTGGACGAGCCAACCAGTGGCCTAGACTCGACACTTAGCTTCGAAGTGGTGAGTTTCATCAGGTCCATCGCAAAAAAGAACAAGGTACGTGTCAAAAGACATCAAAGCCAAATGGGATAAACTTCTAAAACCTCTTGCTAGCTGATTGTTATTGCCTCCATCCATCAACCGTCCACCTCGGTATTCAAGCTATTTGACAAACTGTGCTTGTTGTCATATGGCAAGACGTGCTATTTTGGCGAGCTACCGGAAGCTCTCCCCTACTTCAAAGACATTGGCCTTCCGATGCCATTCGAGACGAATCCTGCCGAGTTCTATCTCGACCTGATCAACGCAGATCTCGCCAAGGAAGGAGACGACGTCTTTGATCGCATCAAACACATAACAGAGTCTTGGTCTGCGGGCGCGGGGGATCAAAAGCTCATTCAGCAGATCGACGCCAATGTGTTTTCATCCGAGCGAAGCGGCGTACCGGATCTCACAAAGGTCAAGATCCTCGAGCCCAGCCGCTGGATGGTGCCCTGGGTTCTCCTCCAGCGCTCCTGGGTCAAAGCCTACCGAGACATAGTGGTATACGAAATCCGTGTCATCATGTACTTGGGCCTGGCCATTCTCATGGGCACGGTCTTTCTGCGACTCAAGTCGACCCAGGACTATATCCAGCCGTTTATCAACGCCATCTTCTTCGGATCGGCTTTCATGTCGTTCATGGCCGTCGCCTACGTCCCCGCCTTCCTGGAAGATCTCGCCACTTTCACCAAAGAACGCGCCAATGGCCTAGTCGGGCCGCTCGCGTTCATGGTCGCAAACTTCATCATCGGCCTGCCTTTCCTCTTCGCCATCGCCGTTCTCTTCTCCATCGTCGCATACTGGCTGAGCAACTTCCGCAACAACGGCGGCGCGTTCATGATGTACACCATGTGGCTTTTCCTGGACTTGGTGGCCGCAGAATCGCTGGTTGTATTGGTGTCGGCAATGTTCCCAGTCTTTGTGATCTCACTGGCCGTCACCGCATTCGCCAACGGCCTGTGGATGTGCGTGAACGGGTTCCTCGTGCCCATGAACATCTTGAACCCGTTCTGGAAATACGTCTTCCACTACATCGACTACCAAGCATACGTCTTCCAGGGCATGATGGTGAACGAGTTCAAGCACGAGGTGTTCAATTGCAACCGCGTGGAGGGGCAATACCAATGCAACTATCCCAGTCCCCTGAACGCCGAGGGCAAGATAGATGGACCATCGGTCCTGAAGACCCTCAGCATCGCACTCAATGATGAAAAGCAGTGGATTGGAATCATGATTGCAATCATTGCAGTTCATCGGATCCTTGGATACCTGGTACTGGTCCTCAGGAGACACTAGTGACAGCCAGGGCGGGGCGAGTTTTTTCCTTTTGCTGTAATTGCATTTTTTTCTAGGTCGCAAGACCGTAAGGCTCCTGGGGTAACGTGGCAGCTGGTTCGTTTGAGAGAGTCATAGAAGGGTGGTGGGGTATTTGTCTTCTGCTTAGCCTCTTTAATTCTTTTGAGATACATAGTCCGCATATGAGGCCTCGTGAATGGAACCGGTGATTTATTTTTTTTAGTTTGACTTGCATGAAATGTGAGGTTAGTAAGGGCTGGGATATGGTACAAGTTGTCTTTTTTGACATTGTTCGCAGCCATTTGGCGGCAGTATTCGTGGTACGCTCTCTACATCCATTAATGGGGTTGATTCTTCCCCTTCTTCAACTTACCGTAAGACCGGTATTCCTGTCAGGTTGAGCCGTCGGGCCTGGTTTTGTCGACGGACACTGGGCGCTTAGTCTGGAGAAAATGCGCCGCACGGACGGTAGCAGAGTCTTGACTGTGTTGAAAAGGATATATCAGGCTGCAATAGATTGAGAGATCCAAGGGGTGGAAGCCGGGAAGGGACAAGAAATGGGCAAAGGTGCCCAATGCTCCAGCCTTGTCAAAGCCTTGTCCCAGCTCCCAGCAGGTTAGCCGGAAAACTATGCCAGCAAACCAGATACCTATTGGTTTTGGACAAGTGGGAGCGATTACGAGCCTTGCATTGACTGTGTTGTTCAACCGATTCTCATATTGTACAGCACTTGTATTTGTTGTGTCCTTTGCGAACTTGTGCTATTTATGAGTTGGTAGGAAATGCCTTGCTCACATCTTCTTCCCGGCTACGTCACCTGTACTGCCGCTCCTGCTCCCACCTTTTGCGGCGTCCTTCTTCGCCAAAATGGCCGCTTCCTCGTCGCGCAGCTCCTTGTCTACCTGCGCACCGCGGCTGGGTTCGTTGCCGTGCATCTTCGCCGGCGCCGTCGGGTCAACTTCTCCGGCCCGGGTCTCGGCGCTCTTGGGCTTGCCGGAGCTGGAGTTGTCCGAGACATTGGACTGTGTATTCTGCGGGCCTGATGCGGCTAGTCGGTTGGCAATTGTGCGGTTGTCTTCTGAGGTGAGAAGGGGTGTTGTATTAGTATGTGCCTGTCTGGTGGGATGTGGCATTGTTTAGGGGAGTTGGGGTATCTCTGTGGAGGGGATGCAAGGAGCGAGAGAAAGAAAGGAAACGAAGATGCTGGCGGCTTGCGATCTCCCTTCCAGTATTCCGGTCTTCCGTTCTTTCACATGTTGTATTCCTATCACTCGATCTTGATTCTGGCCCTCTTCTTGCCTTCGTGTATTGGATGCGGTCAGCCCTTCTCACCCAGCCCTTCTCCCTGTCCCATCACACAAAAACCCGAGAGACACAGAGTAAATGCAAAAGGTAAATCCCAAAAGGTAGCGAGGTAGGAAATACACGTACTCGAATCCTTTCCGAGGTGAGAATTCTTCTGTCCTTCTCCATACGCTTGTTCGCCTCCCTTTTGCGAATCCGGCACCCGCTGGTCACCAGCCTCGTAGATGTGGCGGGAGCCGACGTTGGAGTTACCGGACATTTTAACGGACGGGTTCTCTTGTGGGTGGAAGGTATACAATTCTGGAAGAAAAGAATGGTTGGTTGAGTTTGGACTTCGATGCTTCCAAGAGTATGGGTGAGGCAGTTTCCACGCAAGGGTTTAAGCAGTGTAAAAGAGCCTGAGACACACTCCTTCACCCGACAGAGGTTTCTTCTTTCAGAGTAAAAGTGATGGCGAATAGACCGGCAAAGACACCATTGTAGGGATCAAATTTGAAAGAATTGTGCTCGGGTTGAGCAGATGCCACTCGCTCAGACATGACATCACAATCTCATCCTTCAATGAAGTCATCAATATCCACCACAACCGCCATCAAAACATGAATGGAGCAGATCATGACGCCGCGACCTTGAGGTTATTCAAAATGCCCCTGGTGCCCCTGGTTAGAAGAGCTTTGGGGAAAGTCAGCATGTGCTCTGCCCCGCTGCCGAGTTGGTGTTGATGAGCTTTACGCATGTTGGCATCGACCTCGGTCGACTCAGTCACTACAAGAGAAGAGAAATCCAGGATGAAGGAGTATCCAAAGAGTCGTCCCTCAAGTCTATGGCCGTTTCAACTCTTGTATTCATCATGTCTCTCTTGAAAGCCGAAACTCAGCCTCGGGTCCATCCGTGTCATGCACCATGCTGACTCCTTTCTAGGACTGGTGATCCAATCGCCTCCGCACATTCCCAGGCACGCAAAGGTAAGCTCCTATCAGTGAAGGACGCTGACACTGGACCTGTTGAAGCTCATGACCAGATTCTGAAACATAGAACAGTCTCGCTGAGAGGGGTGCTGGAGATGCTCGGGTCGTCAGGACGCAGATGAGACACTGTAGTGAAGTCACTGGTCAGTGACTGCAATTCGAATAGTCGCTGACACGCGACCCGGCGCTGCAGACCGCAGCAGCTACCTGTGGAATCAGGGTCCGCTTAGGCCTGAGCTTCCTAGGCCGTCCGTTTCATAATGAGTGTGGTGCTGCTTTTCGTTCTCGTCGAGCTTTATCTCAAGCCAAGTGGAGTGTTCCCAGTAATGGCTTCCGATCATCTCCCAATTGTCAACTGTGCGACTTCATCTCTTGCAGCTCCAACCTTGTCGGCCACATCGTAAAGACTCCTCTGCACCTCACCAAATACGTAGCGAAGCAGTTGCATCTGATGGTCTTTTTCGCTCACAGCGCCGCCGTTTCGATCACCGTAGTTGAGTCGATCATTCAACTCTCTCTCCTTGCCTGCGACTTTTCCTTCCAAGCCTTGGACGAAATCCTCAATCTCGCTCAGAAGTCGTCGGTTGCCTTGGATCATGTCTTGCATTTCATCGGCCCTTGTATTGAACAGTTCAATCAAGCTCTTCGGGCCCTGTGTTTCTTCCACCTCTTCGCCTGGGAGTCGGATTTTGTCTCCTTGAGCATGCCCGCCCCGGACGCTTCCCCTCAACGTCTGAGGATTATTCCACCATCCGCTTAGACCTGTTCCGCCGTAGATACCGCTGCCGTTTAAGTTTTCGTTCTGGGCATGAGCAACCTGTTGGTATTGCCTTGGCATTTTCAATCGATCGATGGCCCTGAAAACGCATTTGGCTTCCAATTCGTTCTTTTTTACACCGCCATCCCTCGCCGTGACAATGGCTTCCGCATCGTTGCCTAGTCCGGCTTCCACTTCGTCTAGTTTTTGGCTCACAAAGTCTACACTATTAGGTAGTGTTTCTCCAGCGCGGACGACGGTCGGAAGAAGATCTGCTACTTCTGATGCTAGTTTGATCTGATTGAGGATGAGAGTGTCGACCGCTTCGATTTCTTTTTGCAAGTCGGGAGTAAGCTGGTCAAATTTTGTGGTGGAACGGAGATGAGCAATATCTATTTGTGGTTGAGAGGATGCGCCTGTGGTGGAGGCATTCGCCGGCTGTTGGGCAGTCGTAGTTTGGCCGCTGTGTAAAATCTCTTAGGACTTGGGCAAGAATTTTGGGAACATTGCATTTGGAGGACTTACAAGCTTAAGGGCGCCGGCGCTGTGGTGCTAGCTCCCAGACTCAAGGTCGGCCTTGATGCTGAAGCACCGAAGAGCGACATGCTGACTGCTAAGTGGTTGAGGACGCCAACAGGAAGTGTGTAGGACGAGAGATGTGCTTTCTCAAAGTTCCTTGCAGGCGGAAAGACGCGATGCGCGACAGAGAATTGTTACTTCGGTCGTCTGATTCGCCATACAGGTGAATGTTAGAGTACGGTGGAGCATTGCCAGCTTTTTGTTTTCCCAGCGAGAATTCGTTCTGGCAGCCTCATTCATCCATTCAAACCTACCCAAACTTGATGCTAGAAATGTGAATGGCCACCCGACTGTCTCTTTCGACCAACTCTGGTACATTCATTTTGTGATTAAATAGGGTCATCATGAATAACTTTTTTCTACCAAAGTATCTAGGCGCAAAGCCAGCAGAAGTATCGGGTTGAGACAATGTTGCTCCCAAAATGTGTCGCTACCACGTCAGGAACTCCCACCGAAGCTGGCTCGGGAGTCTCACAACTTGCTGCCTCAAAGAGATACTTTAAGAGTGCTCAGTGGTCTGTACAAAGCCCAAACGTATCAAAATTCTCCCCTGACGACGACAGGAGCGCCGACGGAACTTGTCTAATTGCAAGTCAGTCGGACAATTCAGTTGATACCTTTGTTGTGTGGGTTAATATCGCCATCACATCATACAGCCCACTAACTAGCATGCAGTCCTGTAGATCTCCTTGAAGAGGCACCCGAGCCACGAACGCTTTCTGCATATTGCAGCATACGGGCCGGAGAATCTGTCAGGGCTGTGGTTGGGTACCCGTTTTTCAATCTTCAAGATCCGTCCACCACGTTGGTCTTATCGTCCATGAGAGATCACCCGATCCGACTGAACTCAGCCCTGACCGGTCATCTTGGGGCATCTTATCCGCTAGTCAATCCCATGACTGAGGAATTCATCTGCCCCCATTCCTTGCTTTTCAGCAGTCAAGGTGATCGCATCATTGCCGGTTCAGAATCCCTCATCTCAACCTTTGACGTGTCCCGACCGGGGCAGGCTCCGATTTCTTCCATCCCCACTGGCCCAAAATGGGGAAATACGACTGTGTATAGTGGCACCGTCAATATGCGAGGGATTGTCTCCGCGCTCAGCCTTGAACCCTCAAGTGGCGTTTTGGCTGCAGGGACTTATAGCCGCTATGTTGGTCTGTACGACTCCCTGGGCCAAGGTAACTGCGTCGGGGTCTTCTCCGTCAAAGGGACAAGTGCTGATTTGCAAATTGGCGGAGGAGGAATAACACAGTTGCTCTGGAGTCCATGCGGAAGATATCTCTACATTGCTGAGAGGAAAAGCAACGGTATCATGCTCTATGATATCCGCAAAACAGGTCAGCTTATGGCATGGCTGGAGGGCCGAGTTGCGATGACCAATCAACGGTTAGGTGTTGACCTTGTTGGCATTGGTGATCAAGGGGGCCATGAAGTCTGGGCTGGTGGGCTCGACGGCCTCATCAGGATGTGGAAAGATCCTTACGAAAAAGAAGGCTCTGTTTCGTCTACTTTCGAGTTTAAAGGAGACGATGGTGAGCCGCCCCTCCTTTTCGCACACTTCCGACTGCATACTAACATCTCCCAAAGACGCTATCTCGAGTGCAGTCCTTCATCATAGTGGAGGCGTACTTGCTACTTCGTCTGGCCAACAGCATCTCGCTGCTGAACACAAAGGGTCCCAGACGGAAGATTTAATACCGGCTTCCAGCTTGAAGATCTGGGAACTATGATATGTTGCCGTCGGCGAACAATGCACAGCAATTCTCCTCGAGATATTGTTCAGTGTGTGTCCACTCCACTATCCCACGACTTGCCTGCTTTTTCAACCTACCCTTGGGATATCTCGGCAAAACTGGCTTGTGCAATGGCTTTACCAGATCTATGGGTCTATAATACTTTAGAGTCTAGGTCTTGGCGCGTTGTGGATTATTAAAATGATACCATAGAAACCTCGGATGTGAGATACAGAGAGTGGATCATGGTGATACGCTATCCCATTCCAGGACTAGTGTAACAGGTGCGCTGGCTTTACTCTGACCTCCCTCCTGCTTCCATACGCTCTCCTTTTTGGGAATGCTTCGACTGGAGGTATATCGTTACTTTGAATACCCGAACACTTGAATTCGAAGAGAAGTGTACAGTTTGAGCGCCCAAGGCTCATGGCCTGATGCTTTATGATTCCCTAGTCTCTACTGTGTTTGCTCTTATTCCACGTTTCTTTTTCACCAAAGAAGCTGCCCTTCATTCCACTCTTTGCCCTGGTGCATTGATTGTCTCCTCTGATTGCATTGTGCTTTTGGCTGTGCACTGGACTGATGTCTGCCTCTCCCTCTACCCAATTATCTTTGGCGACTTGTCGAGAGAAGAGAGACGGTCAATGAGCTGCTCACAGACAGCGCCCCAATCAAGCTCATTATGTCGCTCCATCTCTGACTTATCTCCTTCGTTCCTGACACAGAGCTTCACCCTACCCGTCACCGCCGATCGCACTCCCCAGTTTGCCTCCACTGGTCTCTCGCTTGGTCGTCGATGTTGTGACAAGCCTTCTAATGTTGGTCCATGCATTTATTTTCATCTTTCACTTTCTCAGTTATCACGTTCACAAGTCATGCCTGTTTTTCACCAATCTATCACATTCATCCTTCGCGCGCTGTACGAATGCATCATCGTGGCCTTGAGATTTCAATGTAAGGAACTCAAGGCCTCGAAACAGTCTCTTTCCTCCTAGCAACAAGTTTGTCAGACAAATGGGTCCAGCAAGTGGAATCTCCAACGAAATTCCAATCCAAATATATCCTAAAGAGTAAGCCAGTGTCACATTCTAAATAGCGCTCACTCACTGATTCCGACTCAAGGTTGAGAATGACATTGATCGGAGATCTGCATACTCTGACCGTTATGATACCTATGGTTGGGCGTCAGTCCGTCCAAGAGGTGACTTGCTTTCAGATGGATGAAGGCAGCTTTCGATTGTTTCCAATCTATGACTCCGTGGAGCAGGGAACAAGAGGAATTTAATGTTTCAGAATAAAGATGAAGGTTGCAGAAAAAGGTCTGGTTCATTATTTGTCTCGAAGCCCCCGGTAACCTATGGGCTGGGTGCACACCATCGCATTCGACACATTGTCTGCCCCGGCATTTGTCGCAGTACACTCCCTGCTCAACATCCCAACATGGCAGACATCAGATGCATCGGATAGGACGCACTTCACAACAGAATACGGAAATCTTCTTTGTCTTGGTGGCATGACCGGGTCGACGAGGCATGCGCCTTACCCAACTGCCTCCCACATGCCAGGGCAGTTAGTGACAAGGCAGTTAGTGACGCAGTGGTGAAGTTACTGCCTCACCCTCACCTGAACCACCTGCTTTCCCCTCCTATATAAAATTATCTGCCTTGGCACGAGTGATGAGCGAGCTTAAATATTATCCCCCAGCACATCTCCGACCTTGCTTTGTGACTGCCTCTTTTCAAAGTCTCTGTTACTCGCAACCGCAAACTGGATCTTCCCTCTTTGAACAATTCAGATTGACAACGTCCACAATGACCTCTCACCAGACACAGGGTCACCACGACCCAAACAGTTGTCCAGAGGTACAACGGAGACTCACCACCGAGGCTGAGGTCCACGCCATCCTCCAAGACGCCCAGCAGATTGCTCTACCGCAGCGAGGAGTCACGGCATACCTAAACCTCCGCCTTGACGAGCTTCCAAAGTCAGCGGACTTAATGGTCACTGATGATGAAGAGGACCTGGACACTATCTTCGAAAATGTGTCTCAGTCACGCATGTACCGTCGGATGCTACTTCCAAACAAGCGCGGATGGGACATAACAATACCCGAAGCTCCTGATCAACTTCGAGCCCATGTCAAAGTCCTCTTCAAGGCGTTCAAATGCATTCCTAACGAGTGCGCTTGTCAAGAAGCGATCAAACGACCTTTTCGCACTCAAATTCACGACAACTACCTCGTCGAATGTCTTTGCTGGGAGGTTTTGGAAGCTTGCATCGAGCGCTCGAAGAAAGATGCAAATCTTGTGGACGCGTGGGAACCGGGCAAGTTCAGGTACAAGAAGACCAATGATTGGACTTTCGAAGAGCGGTTCAACAGCATCGTCGAGACTATGGCCACATCAAAGACCATCTGCAAGCACCTCTTCGACGTCAAGTATGTGCTGAAAATCGTCGATGACCCAAAGACCAATGCCGAGCGTGTGGAAGCAAATCGGAAACTCAATGGCCTCAAGGCCCGAGTCATGAAGCGAGGCAAGGAAGCAGAGGCCGAGGATCAGAGACAAATTAAGCGTGCCAGAACTGATGATGCGGATGGTGATGAAGACGGCGACTTCTCTAGCCCTGTCCAGCCTGAGCCTCGGCGCAGTCAACGTGCATCAGTCACTGCCGGGGCGGCGAAACAACCAGTCACCACTCCGACACGTCCCTCGATCCCCATCCGGCATCCAGCATCCGCTCCTGCTAACATGAATATGGCGCCACCAGCTGTGCATCGATCGCGCCGTCAACCGGGTCTTCAACCGAGCCCGCTTCCACATCCAAGCCCCGTTTTTGACAACAGCCCGACTCAGCGCAGCACTCCATCAGGGATGTTCGGCAATATCCGTCGTCAGTCAATCTCGCCAGGCTTCGCTAAAGCAATGCAGGCGGGATCGCCAATGCAGCGAAATGGGATGCAACCATATTCACCGATGTTCACAGCAGGCTATGCCACGCCGTCTGATGCTCGGTTCCATCCCACTCAGACAACTCCCGGCTCCCGCTCCGCTTCCAGAGCTTCTGCTCGCCACACCGATTCACTGACTCCCAGCGAGCGGGGCTCCTCTCATAGCTGGCTGGGCCAGCCTGTGCAGGAGAGCTACGGACTCAACTCTGGCTACACCTCTGGGACATCTTCTACCGTATCCCACCAAAGTTTCATGTACTCTGCCAGTGAACAACCACAATGGGACCCCAGTTACAACTACGCTTTAAATGGCGGCTTGACTGATGCAGCAACCACATTTGGTGATGACGACAGCTTCAGAGAGACACCCCAGGAGAACATGAGCATGTCTGAACTTCTCGAACAAGGAGAAGCAGAACAAGCACTGACCCATGGTGCATCTACCGAGTCTGAAGAGGGAGAAGACGGAGAAGGAGAGTTCGATTTCGAGTGAACGAAGGGCTCCGCAATCACAATATCTTTTTCAATTCAACACTCGTGATCATTGCCTCAATATTAGGCTAGCCCCAGTCACACTGCCGTCTTCTTTTCTCACTCTCTCTTTCTGTCTTCACAACACTCCGCAAGAGGAGTTTTCAACTGTACAGGTATGTCGTCGAAACAACATGGAGCACATTTACGACCTCACTCGCTGCCATGGGACAGTGTACCGTTGACAATCATCATGCAAACATGCAAGAATCTTTTGTTCCTGCAGTTATTCCCACTATTGTAGAACGAAGAGAATGGACAACAGCACCAACGACAATGGATCACAAATCATCCATTCCTCTTCTTTGTCGTCTTCATTTTTCTCGGATAGTCGGGTGTGGGGTTCAGGGTATGGCATAGCAGCGATCCATGCGAGACGTCAAGGCGTGCTGCTTTTACCTTTACTGGCTAGGCGTTTTCAGAGTACGGTCATGGTCATGGCCATGGTCGCGGTGATGAGAGACGAGTCAATGACAAGAAATACCCCCATTTGCACGGAAGAACGGATTGGAATAGAGAGGGGCCTATTAGTATTGGATACCTAGGCTCATGTATCATTCGGACACAACTCCCCTCAATACACGGGCGTGCACAAATACATGCCCCGGACAACGGCGATGGTGACAGCGGGAGATGGAGATGGCCATGGATATGGTGGTGAAGATGGAGACGAAGATGATCGTAGACATGGTGATGCTGATAGTGATGAGGCCTGAATAGCGTGCAGTGCAGTGCAGTGCTCAGGGTATATGGCAACGAGCATCGATCCATGCATCCATCCATACATACATATGTACATACATACATTGTGAAGGACAGTCAAGTCAGTCCCATCGCGACAGATAGCCTGGGAGGGGCTTGATTCAATGCAGCCTGGATTCGATCAGTCATACAGAATTTTTCATTGTTTGACATGCATATACCTACGTAGGCAGTCGTCACACAGGGGGTAGGCCTTGCAGTGGACAGCTTGCTTGCTTGCTTCGATACATATCCTTAAATCTCTGGCATTTACATATGTATGTATGCGGCAAGTATAGACTTGATTCATATCGGGCTGAGTCCCTCATTCTCATTCTCATTCATTTCAAGCTTTCTTCCCTCCTCCCCTTCCTCCGCCGTCAAAACTCAAACTATATCCTCCACCCTCGCCTTTGACTACTTTGAAATTGTCGGTGCTGAGCCCAAACGGTTTCAGAATCCCGTTGCCCAGGTCCTTGAGCTTGCCCATCATCTCGCTGACTTCTTTCTGCTTGGCCTCTTCGATCCTGGGCGGGAGCAAGACCAGCGCATCGCGCACGGTCTTCTTATCCGATGCCGGCAAGGTCTCCCAATATTGAGGTGTAGTGGAGAGGATCTTGTAGTCTTCCAGCGCGGCACTGAGGCTGGACCAGGCCGAGCCCGATGTGGAGGTGGTAGAGGACGGGTTGGAGACGGTAGACGGGAATGTTGACGAAACTGAAGACATATTTGTCCTCGCCCGAGCGCGGCGCAGGAGAAGTTTGACGCGTATTCGTGTGACGTCGGCTTTCCTTGTATCCGAGAGCTGCAGATTTTTGAGCGCGGTGGATTGGTCCTCCTCGTCCGAGGGGAGTTCGACGACTGTGTCGTCTTGTGTCTCGGATTTACCTTGGGCAGGAGACCGTCGTGGCGATACCATTTCGTCTTCTGACTCGGTATCTGAATTCAACCGCCCATTTTGACTATTTCCATTAGCTTGTCCTGTCAAAGGCGATTTCTTTGTTCCAGTACTCCTCCTCGTCCCTTTCTTCAACTTCTCTTTTTTCCTTGTTGGGAATTCTCGTTCCAAGCCCTGCAATCCCCTTTCGCAACTCTCCACGGCATCCTTCCATTGATCAAGCTTCAAATGGCAAGCGGCAATGTTGCTTTGCAACACGGCCATCTCATAATCCAAATACCGCGGCAGTTCTGCCAACGCGCGGTCGTAGGTCTGGATTGCGGAGATGTATTCTTGGCGGGAGAAGAGAGTGTTTGCTTGGGATTTCAGGTCGTTGGAGAGCGATAGCATGCGGGATTCTTCACCGGGGGGGAACCGATCTTGCTGCACCGACTGGGCTGAATGGAACGAGGCGGTGGACGAGGTCGACGACCGTCGGGACCATGATGGTGGATTCGGATGTGCTTCGGTTGGAGGAGAAGGAGGAGGTTTTACCCGCTCTGGGCGCACTTTGGGTCCGTCTGCTTTAAAGGACATGCTTTGACCGGATTAAATATTCGCTGCCGTGGGTAGATGGGCGGGGGCGGGAGGGTGGTGATGGTTTCGTCAATTCTTGCGGCGACGAGCGAGGCTGAATGCAGTGTTGGACGAGGCTGCGCAATGCGACCCCCACACATGACGTTGGGTGCTCGTGTTCGGCTATTTGAGGTACCCAGTACTGTAAATGACCCCACCAAGATCCAAACCCCAACTCGACGAACACAGCCTTTTTGCGGCGAGAACGTGGTTATGCAGGGGTGTCAACGGCCTGACACTGCAGGTACGCGTCTGTAGGAATCCTCGACGCGGAAACCCCCTTTCACTATAGAGTGTCTTCCCTGGCAGCGGCTTGCGTTCAGATCTTGTTTCTTCCCCTTCTCCCAAAGAGTTGTTGCGCTTTCACACCCTCCAACATGGCGCCGGAGAATAATTCCTCAATGCAAGGCCGAGAGTAAGTACCGCGTACTTTACCGCCGTTATATCTCGCCCGCATTGAACTCCTTGCATAAAAGACTAATCAGCAGATCCCAATAGCTTCAATCCCGTTCGCGCCTGCATCTTCGACATGGATGGGCTACTCATCGACTCTGAAGATGCCTACACCATCGTCACCAACACCATCCTGCGCGAGAACGGCCGTCCCGATCTTCCCTGGGAAATCAAAGCACAACTCCAAGGTCGGCCCTCTCACTCGGCCGGGAAAATCTTTCACGAGTGGGCCCAGCTCCCCATCTCGAGGGAGGAGTTTATGAGTAGGCAAGCGGAATTACAAGCAGAGGCCTTTTTGAAGTGCAGACCACTCCCAGGTGTGGAGCAATTGCTGAAGAAATTGCAAAAAGCCTACACAACGAATCAAGCGACATCTTTCTCCCCAGGCAGATCGAGTAACAAGAAGGTCCACCTCGCACTAGCGACAAGTTCGCACTCAAAAAATTTCGAGATCAAGACAAGTGGAATGAGAGACCTATTTAGTCTCTTCCCTCCGAGACATGTCATCTTGGGCGATGATCATCGCATACCGAAGGGGAGAGGAAAGCCACTACCGGACATCTACCTATTGGCATTGCAGAGCATTAATGAGACGTTGTTGGTGGAGGGCAATGGGGAGAGACCGATTACGCCCGAGGAGTGCCTTGTGTTTGAGGACAGTGTCCCTGGGGTGGAGGCCGGCAGGAGGGCAGGCATGCGCGTCGTATGGGTGCCACATCCGGGATTACTGGAAATATACCTGGGAAGAGAAGAGGAGGTTCTCGCAGGACAGACGGGCGAACATAAAGAGGACGATCTGGACCACACAGAGGGCATCCCTCTGATGGGCAGCCCTGGCTACCCAGGCGAGATCATGGACGGATGGGCAGAGATGCTGGCCTCGCTGGAAGAGTTTGATTTCTCGAGATATGGAATAGAAGTTGTCGACGAGGGAGACGCTTCAGAAAACGGCCAGCCCGCTCTCGACGGCATGACGGACAAAGAGCTGGAAGAAATGACAGCCCTGGCGGACGGTAAACGTCATGCTCCCGAAGAACCATCACCTTCACAGGTCCCCAGGACGAGTTTATGATGAAGATCGATCCTAGAGACCTCCTTCAATGCTCTCAAGCAAGGAGCGGAAAAAAAAAAAAAGAGGGCATAGACAAAGCATTTCCGGGATGGGCAAAAAGCCATGCGTGAAGTGATGATTCTCCAGGGCTCAATCTGATCTAAGCAATGGCGTCTCTTCTGAGGCCTCCTGTGCTGTTGTCTCTTCGCGCTCCACACTCGGATTATAGTGCATTCGCCTCCTCAACTCATCCTTCTCCTTTCTCCTCCGCACGATCTCGAAGTAACTTCCCATCACCAATAAAGTGCCCTGCAAACAACCCGTTACCAAGTAAACACCCCACGCCGACCAGCCTTCAGGTCCCAACCTTGCCGCGAGACTACCTGCCCAGACAAAGCTGCCAGGTGTCTGAATGCACATCATCGGTATGCTCAGGCTCCCCACTCTCTTCAGAGTGAATGTTGTATATATTTGTGGAAAATACTGGATGCTCGCGAGGACGGTGGATAATATGCCCAGGAAATTCGCCCATGACTGTGCGAGGTGAGGGGCGGCATATATGAAATAGAACGATAGGATTGCCGTGACTGCGGCATGCAAAACACAGATTGCGACGACGATGAGAGCGGTGCGGTAGGATGGGGCGAGGGGGGCCGCTTCTTTGATGTGAGGGATGTCTGCTGTGGCTGAGTATTCAGGAGGATCGGAATCGAAACCATTAACAACGTCGTCGTCAAGAGGTGCAGAGGGGAGTTCGCGGCGAGGAAAGAATATGAGGAACAAAAGTAGGCTAGAACGTGCTCGTGTCAGCGTTCTCGTTCCTCATTCACGGACAGCCCACGTGTAACCGTGAGCCGGCATGGAGAAGGAAGGTTGTACTTACATCACCCCAAAGCAGCACCATTGCACACCCACCTGCGCGATACCCAGCAATCCTGCCAGACAGGCAAACTCATCCACCTCGCGACAACAAGCGATATCCGCCCGCGATCTCGGGAGGACGAGGATATTGGCAAATGCGCAAGTACCGCTGGTGGTGCCTAGCAGGACGAAGTATGGGGACAACCCGAAGGAGGAGCGCAGACGGATGATACGAATATGTTGCGGGAGATAGGATATGAGGATGCCCACAAGGATAAACCTGTGGAAAAGCAGACAGTTAGAACTGGAGGCGGGGAAATAGGACCAAGCAGGCGGGACGAACAGAGAGAGCCCGAAGTTGGTGTAGCTGACTCGGGCGATTTCTTCGCAGTGTGGCTCCATGTTGGGAGATCGATATGGTCAGTGTCAGGCAGAAGGGGACCGTACTATCGCAGTGAAGTCATCTTGACTTCTTTGTGGTTGCGAGATGATGGAAAGTGTTGGCCGGGCTGGTTGACGGGAGCAGGTGATGTTGATGTTCCGAGGAAGGCTAGCCTTGCCTTATTCCGCATCGGGATAAAAGGCTGCCGCCTTAGCGCCCGGGTCAACTTCGGATAAGTTTATCCGACCCGACGAGGCGGCGAGTGGGACTCGTTAGTATATACCTCCTAGTACAACTCTTTGCTGCAGGATGATCTGGGTGCGTTCTCAATGGAACCGTGAGTAATGCTTACACTGCCTGCGACTCTATGACAGGGGAGGTGCTAGAGTTTCATAATTCTTGCCTCAAAAAAGCTTTCCGTGGTCCTTCGCTCAGTTCTTTTTACTATGTTGTGGCATGCTTAACTCAAAGGGAACTAGCTATGTCCTGAACAATTCGAAGAGCCTTTTAGGAGAGTGCTATCCTTTCCATAGTTATAGTGCATAACACGCCGTTGTTAGACTACATATTAGTTATTAACAGGTCGTAGTTATAACCGTAAGGAAATCTATTCGAACCACTAAACTGAAAAGTTACCCATGTCTCTCTCCATAAGGCTGATTAGTCTGTCGTTGAACCGGTAAACTCGTACTCTTCGTATGGAAGGGGGCGTTAGTTAATGAGTAGCGTCGATCTCCAAGTACCTGTTGTCTTTGACAGGGGCAGTACCAATACCACGGTCGTTAGCCGGGGCTGTGCCAACTCGGGATGAGTGGCTTCGCGGTTCTTGAAGGGCTGCGTTGCCCAGGGCCCACCCGCAAGAGCCTGACATAAGGTATTGGTGAAGCGGCCTGCTGCGTCAGTAAGGGCGTGAAATGAACACCCACGGGTTGAAGCGGAGAGCTTACAAAGCGATGAAGGCGAAGGCTTCTAGAGCCCTCTTCAGGTCGCACTTGTTGACACCAGAAGGAGAACGGGCACAAGTTCCTCAGCAGTTATAGTCTTGGGAGGAGAAGATAAATGCCGTGAGCCACAAGTGGGAGAAGACTCAAGCTGTAGGGGCCAAAAAGCCTTTGAAGGCGCCGACTGTCGGAAGGAACCATGGTAGACCGAGGCACCGATCGACGCCTTGAGGACATCATGAAGGGCCCACAAATCAATTGATTGGCCAGAGTCTGAAACTTATAATAGATATCCAGTAGACGAGATGCATATTTTGATTGTGGTGGGCCATCAAATATGCGGAGATGCTGAAGACAATGATTGACGAGACCCAATCCAGCCAGTGATTGGCAAGGATGGTTGGTCGATGCGCTCTGTTTGAGCGAGCAGCTGGCGCGCGATAATCCGTAGTGCTGGCGTCGGCGTGGGCATGGCAAATGTCGGCCAAATTTACCAAATCGAGCCATAATTGTTGCTTGAAGGCTTTTCGTTTGGGATTGGAGATGGTCGGAAAGGCTTGCAAACAGAGATTGGGGTTAGGCCTGTCGAAGATGTTTGTGTCCGAAGCTCGTGAACAATGTCAAACGGAGCGCACCAGAGACACGTAGTTATGACCAGGATGTGTAGGGGCGAAGTAGAATGACGTCCTCGGAGCTGCGAGAGTTACACAAAGTCTTCCGGTTCTGCTTTTACTCGTTCTTTCGCTCATAAGTCCCTTGTCCGCAATCCCACGCTGCTTCGTGCCGCACTTCCGTCCCAGATACCTCCTCCAACAGGTGCGTTAGGGTCACAAATGAAACAGGCTGGGGGGGAACCCTGTCCTATATATTGGTAAACTTGGAGTCCTTTACAAGGCTGCCGACGGTGATGGTCATGAATCTTTCGGATCATCTGCAGGTGACGCAGGATTGTAGGCTGGAAACCCTTGCTTCCATGCCTGACAGGATAAAATCCGGGACAATCACCAGCACTGGCGATCCATCACATCTGGCAGGCAGCTTGCATATTCTCGAATGGCACGTTCCAGGCATGTATGTCGACAGCCTTGCCGGCAAAACAATTCAGCATGCAGACCTCGCTTCCTCGTTTTGGAGGGATCCGCAGACGATATGTCCATGTAATAGGGCATCAATAGCATCATCTGACAAGGCTCAAGTCGTCATGGACATGTTTTCACGGAATGTTTCTCTCCCACACTCTAGTCACCCCGAATGTGGCATGTGGTGGCAGTTTAGAAGTCAATCATTGCATCGAGCTCGAGCACTGGTAGGACAAAACCTGACGGCAGACATTGACAAAGAGCCAAATGCCTCGGAACACGCCTCCTGAAGGGTTCCGGTTGGTTATACCGTAGATCCAAAGGGCGCTCATTTCTTACACTGCCAGCAACAGCTCGACTACGCGTAGTCGAGCTATGAGACAGGTTTAGCCGATCCCTGGGCCAGTTAGGCCCTCCTTACAGCTCAGTGTGCCGCTCAGGAGTGCTCGGTGAAGCTCAGCTAACGGCCCAAGTGAAAGCTCCGGTCAAAGGTCTTCGCTCACCCTCTAACGTCAAACCGTTCATGGTAATTAGATTTAAGCTTTGTCGCTCGCGGGTAATCTAGCTATCGACCTCTTCGAGCTTTGACATCAAGGTCTTCCTCTGACCTCTATTCTTGCTGGGGCGTTACTCGGGCTCCCTTTTGGCATTCAGCCAAGGCACTAGCGTAGCCAGATAGATTGGTTGTGGGTGTGCTGGGGTGTGGTAGTGGTGATCACAGTGGTTCTCACCGCGTATACAGACGTCGTTCTCAAACCACTCTATAGCGCCAGGCTGGGCAGTTGCTTACCAACCAAAGCTATGTTCAGGAATGCCTTTTCCTAGCAAAGACCCACATGTCTGTATAAACAGGTGGGACATCGCTGAAGGGGTAGATGTACAACAACAGTTGATCAGGAACAGGCTGAACGGCCATTTACGTGATCAGCTTGACAGTTCCCGGTTCAGCATTTCTCTATTTTGCACTCGAAACAGTTCTCCTGCAAGGCATCATGCAGCCGGGCAAAGACTCCATTGTGCCACGTCCTGAAGTCCTTCCACTCCTCCTCGGGCATGGTGGCGGAGAGCATGTTCAGCCACCCGCCCACAATCAGGTCGGCATAGTTAGCCTGTTTGCCTTCCAGGTACGGTCCCGTTTCGTGGACCATGAACAGGTCGGCCAGTGACTTGAGCGCGACCTTGAACGCCGCCCTGATCTGCTCTCTTACCTTTCCTTGGACGCAGACATCATCCCAAGAGCTCAAGTGCGCCCGCTTGACAAAGAGGGCTTTTATGGCCTCGGCCGTGTTCGGGGGGAGGGGCATGTACTGGGCGACGAGGACCACGTGGGCAGAGAAGGTAGCGTCGACATGCACGTTGAACCTTGCGTAGGCCCCGTTCTGGGACCCCTCTCTGCTAGTCAGGGGCGCGAAGAATACCGTATCCTTGTTCGGGCTCTCGTAGTCGAGTCCAGTGCGGGTTGAGTCTAGGGGGAAAAGGCAGCCGCCACAGTCTGGGAAGGTATCCTCCAGATAGTTCGCGATGTCGAACGAGTCGCCAACGAACTTGCCCGAGGCCAGATTCTGCAGCATGGGCAGCGTGTAGAAGTCGGAGCCATCGTCAAGCTTCCGGACTGCGGGGCAGCAGAGCCTCTTGCGGACGTCAGGGATGTCGAGGATGTCAACCCAGGTCGTCTTGAAGGGCACACGCTTGAAGCTGAGGGCGAGACGGGCTTTGGAGGGATTGGGTGCGTAGGAGCGGGGTTGTATGGACGAAGAGATGTCGTAGAGAATGAGAGGGTTGGACTCTGTCATTATTGAAGGAGCTGGTGGAAGTGCCAATGCAATGCCGGAGGGTTGTTGGAGCGGGCGGAACGAAGTTGATTTCTTTCATTTTTTTCCCCATTAGTGGCAAGTCCCGGTCGCCAAGCCCCAGCAGGCTTTTATCTGCCCGATGGAAAATATACTTGGTTCCATCTTCTCTGGTGACTGAGAAACTCTCTTCTAACGGGAAGGCGGAACGTTTGTTGGTGAGTGAGGGGTGAGCATAGGGCGGCGTTGCCCTCTGCCCATTCCAGGATAGCAAAGCCTTATCACAATCGGGAGTGAGCTGCTGCTGTTTGACCACGACCAACACGGTTGACACAGTACAAGGTCCCTATTGTAGCAGTTCCTCAACGTGTCCATCCCCAACTATGGCCGGCTTTCTGCATACATCTAACTGGGTCGACGGCGTGCATACGCTCCCGGCCGCCGAACGAATACAGGTCATCAATCCAGCGACCGAGTCCACGATTGGCACTGTAGACGCTACGTCGCGGGAAGCCATCGACGCCATCATCTCAGACTCTTTGCTCACCTTCCGCCGTGGCAGATGGTCAAAGGCAGACGCTTCGGAGCGATACTCTGTTCTGTCCAGAGCGGCAGCCCTGCTGCGATCACGGATCCCAGAGTTCGTCGAGTTGGAGACGCAGCAGACAGGTCGGCCTATCCGTGAGATGCGTGCCCAGTTGGCACGTATACCGGAGTGGTTGGAGTACTTTGCATCATTGGCTCGTGTCCACGAGGGACGGGTCACGCCATTCAAGGGACCGGTCATCAATACCCTCACCCGCCTGCCGCTCGGCGTGGTGGTGCAGATTACGCCCTGGAACCACCCCCTTCTCATAGCGACGAAGAAGATGGCAGCGGCCCTTGCGGCGGGAAATGTGGTGGTGGTCAAACCATCCGAGCTTGCGCCGTTGTCGGTCCTAAGGCTCGGGGCTTTGTTTCAGGAGGCTGGACTGCCAGATGGAACCCTGCAGATCGTATGCGGCTATGGACGTGACACGGGCAAATTCTTGTGTGAGAATCCCTTGGTGGCGAAGATCGATCTGACCGGCGGAATTGCCACGTACCGGGCTATTGCGTCGAGAGCTGGAGAAAACATGATCCCGATAACAGCTGAGTTAGGTGGGAAAGCCCCGGTATGTCTTCTCCCGAGTCTGGATGTCGGGCACGCCGTCAGGGCCGCACTCTTCGCTAGTTTCATTGCTAGTGGTCAGACTTGTGTGACTGGGAGTCGTCTGCTAGTCCATACCGATATTTACGATCGATTTGCGGTGTTGTTGCAGAGCCGAGTCAAAGCCCTGCGGATAGGCGATCCACAGGAATCACAGACACAGATTGGAGCGGTTATCTCGGAGGCCGCTCAGGCGAGATGTACCGCTTTCGTGGACCGTGCCGTAAAGGAGGGCGGAAAGATCCTCTGCGGCGGCAACGCGACCACAGTGGCCGGCAAGGGGTTTTTCTTCGAGCCCACTATTATCGAAACACGCCACGGCTCCGACCTATCCTGCAATGAAGTCTTCGGTCCGGTCATTGCGCTCGTCAGATGCGAGTCCGAGGAGGACATCATTCGCATAGCCAATGATAGCCACTTTGCGTTGGGAGCGTCGGTCTGGACGAACGACATCTCGCAGGCACACCGGATGGCGGAAAAGATTGACGCCGGCATTATCTGGATCAACGGGCATCACTTGAACGATCCCTCGTCACCGTGGGGAGGGTTCAAAGAGAGCGGAATGGGAAAGGAGAACGGCGTAGAAGCCTATGAGAGCTACACAAAGGTCAAGAGCACCGTGATCAATTATGGCATCCCCCCTGCGTGGTTCGACGAGGAGAGTGAGAATGCAAGGTACGGGTGATTGCTTACCTGGGGTTAACACAACGATGTATCCATCTCTGAAGGTTCTAACACGGGTTGATCTCCTTCCCTCTGTGTCAGACAGCGCCTGGCTGCTACCTCACAGTCATCATTCGAGTGGCTGGGGTCACCCAGCGAAATCTTTCAACTCCCCTCTGATCATCAGGTATAGGTGCCTTTGCAGGCTTCCATCAATCACATAGCCTGCCCCAGGGTAGTCTAGCGGAGCTGCTGGAAATTTGAACTTCCAGATCCCACTCTTGGGAAATTGTAGCCGTTGTTTAAGCCACCATCAGACGCAACCTCTGTGAGCTGCTAACAGCCATTTTTGCGAAGCAAGAGGTCCAATGAAATGGAATGTGAAAGGCTTCGGTTCTTGTTTATGAGACGAAGAAATCTTCGGAGGAGCTCGTAGAGCTTATGTCCAAACAAACCAATGCCTTTTTCGCCATTTTCTGGACCCATTCGACTTTAGTAGGATGCAATGAAACAGATCAACCACAAGTAATGCAGTCTTTCAACGTCGAGAGCTGTACTCCAGTTCTTTCCGGCTCTCACCATCGTTCGCTAGATTTCTTGTGCACGAGGTCTTTTTCTATCATACACAGGCCACAAATATTTCGCATTAACACGAACGGAGAGCTGCAATTCGTCATTCGCCCATTGCCAGACGCCCCAACGCCGCAAGCTGTCCCCTGAATTTTTCGTAGAGTTCGACGTCGACTGTCGAAACAGTGTCAAACATCCTAATAATAGTCACCACCGCAGTTCTGCGAGCAGTTTGTAGACTAGAGGCTGTAGCTGCATACCTATTTCCAAATCTTACGAAGTTATCAGCTCCGTACTCTTGCTCAACTTGGCAGCGACGGTTATATGGGCCTTGTGGCTTCCGGATCTGCTCGAGCTGATTCCAGAGCTCTTGGAGATGGCGACATTTGTGCTGCTGTCTGTGTTGGACTTGCCGATGTTGCCGGTGCTGTCGTCATTGGCGCTGTCGTTGTTGACACTGTCGCTGTTGACCCTGTTGCTGCCGACCCTTTCTCGTTGGCTTCCTGGAGTTTCCTAGCCCAAGCGACGTCCGGATGTGGGCAGTAGCGATGCAGTGAGCACCATCTGCGGCGCGGATAGTGTCATTACAGCGGTCACTGATGGTGCGAAGCATCCCTTTATTATCATACGCTCGAGAATCTGCTGCGGATTGTTGATTGGCAGGGTATCAAATTCTAGGTCTTTGGGATCCTGCGGGATCCTGATATTGAAATTTCGGTCCTGATCGACATAATAATTACGATAAAGATCTTCGCAAGTATTGCAAGGATGGTATTCACGATTTTATCAAATCCGGGAATGATTCGCAAGCTTTCGGATATGCTGCCTCCATGGATCCACGATCAGACCTGCTAAATGGTCAAGAGGCGTACCACTGTTCGTTGCTGGGTGGTCGCATAGAACACTGCCATGAGAGCAGAGGTAAGGCTGAATACCAAAAAGCCACGAGAGACCCAATGCGAGCAACAAAGGTCGTCCAGTGACAAACCCGTCATGGCAATCCGGGCCACAATGGCAGTCTAGGATCCGTCAGTTCATCGTGGTCAATGCTGAGACAAGAAAAGGTGGTCAGATTTCTTGATTTCCATTGTTTCGGTGTCGTCCAGCTTTCCAAGAACTTGTGTTTCTACACGCCAGGTTGTTCGGCTGCCGAAAACTAATAGAAAGATTCCTGGCAATCCGTATATTCTCGATAGCGAGATGGCGTGGCGAGGGACCTGAAGAAAGCTATCGCGGACAGGAGAGCTACCTCAACAGCCCTGATGAATCCCGACAACACTCCCAGAAGCTCTGCTATATTAGTTGGGGGCCTTTGTTTAATCAGGATTGGGAAATCTGGCCCACGTCGCTTGGTCAACGAGGTCTGACAGCTGCTCGGAAGGTTGACTTGCTCTAGCCAATCCCCGCCAATGACTAGAATGGTCAGCTTTCTTGACGAGGAGTCAGTGCAAAGCATGGTGTGCGCCAAATGGTCACACTCTCGAGTCGAGCAATAGCCTGGAATTGCATAAGAGCGGGGGAGAAGGGGATCCTTGTTTTCCTACTGGGCACCTAGGTACCGAGTACGTGGTAGTTAGGTAGGTGTGTCGGTGTTTTACGAGAGACAGAAGAAGAGAGTGCTTGCAGCTATCGCCTAAGCCGCGCCAAGACACCCAAATAATTGATCATTGATCTCTCACCTGACGAGCCGACTCCCGCAACCCTGCGCATTGCGGCATTAGGTACCGAGTACGTCGTACCATCATCCCAACCCGGGTTGAGCTGCGAGCAACATCATCCACACAACTTTTGACCTTGACCTGGATGACTCTAGGCATTTGAGTACAAATCAACTAACCGACTACTTGCTATGCACCTGGGACGATTAGGCAAATACCCGGTACAACAAGCTCGCCAATGTCCGCTAGAACATCAGGGACCCTCCACGCGACGGCCCTTGCCTTTCACCGACACCAAAGTCTGCCTAGGTACCGGACCAATGCACAACCTAGGGCTCCTGGCGCTATTAGCGAGCGCGCTTGCTTTGCTGTCCACCACGTGTCACAATTGTCGGTGAAGTCCTAGCTGGAGAAGGAACTCTGGAAGAGTCTGAAAGAGGAGGGAAGGAGGAACGTGTGAGGCAATGCCACAGGTATATAATGCCGGAGCTCAGCACCACTGGAAGGGCCTGGTTTTCCCCAGCGCCAGCCGGGGTGCCCCCGGGTTGGAAACATGCCCAAGCTGCTGTCCCCGGCCCGAGCGGCCGTTTGGTTTATCACCGTTCTGCAACTCCTGCTATCCTTTTGGTCCTCGTCCTACAGCAACGGCAACTTGCATCACGATTCTTACGGCATCCACCATCAACACCAACGAGATACTGATACGCGATTGACGAAACATTCAGCGCCAGCAGGACTGGGCTTCATGATGGCAGAAGCCCATCCATTCCCACACAAGTGTGTCAACAGCACAACCGAGGCCACCCGGTCATTCGTCGAGTCCCTGTTCACAGCTGTCGCGCTGGACAATTTCGGAACATCTTTCGCCGCTGCCCTGTCCGACGACCTGGTGTGGACGGTTACCGGAAGCAGTCCGATCGCGGGCACATACAATGGCAAACAGGTCTACATTGACAAAGTGCTCACACCCTTGCGAGACGTGCTGGTGACCCTCCCCGTGCCGATTGTCGAGCACATCTTTGCCGACGGCGACTGGGCGACGGTGAACTGGCGGAGTCAGGGCGTAGTGGGCAAGAACGGTGCAAACTACGACATGCAGTATGCGTGGCTGATGAGGACAGAGCTGGACGACACGGGCGCCCGGAAGATTGTCGAAGTCATTGGGTTCTACGACAGCGTCAAAGTCACGGCTGTTTTTGCGGGCTATGTCTTCAACACCACCAAAGTCTGAGGTGTGCAGCATACATGGCCAAGTGGTATGGACAGCCAACAATAGGTAGATGACTGCAGGAAATGATCGAGTTCGATGAAACGAATCTCACGAGGGAAGGGAGCAGAAGAAGAGTCCCCTGTTGAAGGCACTAAATACGAAAACTGGCCCCGTCAGCGTGTCGGGTCCCAACGTCTCCTTTGTTCCAGCCAACTCACCATTAACGAAAAAGGAGAAACCATAACCCAAAAAAGGAACAAAAAACGAAAACCACTATCTACCGATCTATCTATAAAGCGACTTCGACTTCGAACACAAGAACAAGACCGACCAACGTGGCGAGGATCGCCACCTAAATTGTTCCTTCGACCTTTCGAACGTCTCAAAAAGGAAAAAGAAGGAAAAAAATGAAAATGAAAAAAAAGTATGAAAAAGACCCCAAAAAAAATAAACCATCACAAGCTCCAACGGCACTCCCCATTTTTCTTTCTTTGTACACGAAGGCCCCGGGGAATGAAATGATGATAATGATAAATTCAAAGACGACTCATACGAACATAAGTAGCATAGTACATAGCGCATACATATACGTCTATCGATATAATGACATATAAGGACACGCCAAACCCCTCGAAACCTAGCTAGGCAAAATCAACGCGAGTTCAAAGGAAACAAGTCCAAAGCCGCTACTGTCGTTCCCGGTCGCCATTGTGGCTCGAGATTTCCGCGTGTATGGGCACGCATGCAGAATCCAGATCCGACTTCAACCATGCGGAAAAAGCACTTGAAAAGAAAATAAGAATAAAAGGTCTGATGTAGGCAGAGGCTGCGCATGTATCATTAGCCGAGAGGAGAGAACTGGCCCGCCCACCCAGGTGTATCGGTAGATTTCTTGTATACAACGATCCCCGTCTATCACCAGCCTCTCAACAGTCAACGCCAGGGTAAATCTGATTGCAACCAGGGATACACGAGAGGAGGGGTATCTATCACTGTCATCAAATGCCGCGCCATATCCATCTCTTGCAGCGTCTTCTCCCTTCCTTCCTCACCATGGAATCCGGCCACGCTTCTCTATTATTTTAATAATTCTTCTGAGCATATGTGCTCTTCATTCGCAGTCGCTCCCCATACTGCGTCGCGTTGTGTTCAGTCAGCACCGGACCAGGCTCCCGTCAAGAAGAGAAAAGGGGAAAGGAGATAAACCCCAACTCACCTTGAACAAGAAGAAAGGGATAGGAATAAAGGTAATGGCAAGAAACCCCAACGTTGAGCTCGCCCAGCCGACTCCAAGGTTCTCGTACATGGCCGTCGCGAACAGCGGAAACGCCGCGCCGAAGGAGGACCGGAAGAAGTCGTTGCCGGCCAGCACGCTCGCCGCGTACGCGGGATACGCGTCCGCCAGGTAATTGAGCACCGAGTTGAAGAGCAAGAACGCACCGACAGAGAACCAGGCCGTCCCGATGATGGGCATGATCCAATGAATGTCGGACCGGGCAGACCAGCCGAACCAGAACAGGCAGATTGGAATGGCAAAGGCGCCGACGAAGGAAGGTGGAAGGCGCCACTCCGGTCGCAGCTCGCCTTCCTCGTTGAATTTGGGCTCAATGTATTTCCGCTGGTACCAGATAAAAGGTGGGAGCGTGATCAAGACGCCAATGAGAATGCCCAGAAACGCAGTTCCCTCGAGACCCAGACTGAAGCCATAGATCCCGCTGAATACGATGGGAAAACTCTCGAACCAGATGTACAGCAGCCCGTAAATGAGAGCGATGTACATGTTCAGCAAGAAGACCATAGGTTCCGTAAAGCAGAAGAGAAAAGGGCGGACCAGAGTCATCATCATAATTTCCCTCGGTGTCATTTGTTCGCCGATCAGTTGGGGTTCGCACATGAGTTTATGGTTGCCCGTCAACTTGCGAAGGCGCATCGTGCGCCGGTAGAGAATGTTGGCCGAAGACGTCTCCGGCAGCAGGAACAGCAGGAGGAGCAAGGTGAATCCGGAGAGCCACATCAACTCCCAAATTGTCCAAGTCCACCCTTCTGATTCTGCTGCGAAGCCCCCAACTAGAGGACCCTGCAAGTACTTGTTAGCGTATACCGGCATTGGGGGCACAGCAACAATGACGAATTCGGACTCGAACATGGTCTTTGGGAAGAGGAGATGAACTCACCATGACGGGACCACACACGGCTCCAATGCCCCATACGGCCATACCATATGTTCTTTTGGCCGGAGAATACATGTCTCCAATTGTGGCGCCTCCGGTGGCGAGGGGAGGTGATCCCACGAAACCTGTGATGAAGCGGAACGCCAGCAGCATGCCGAAATTGGTCGCCAAAGCAGTAGGGATTTGCAGGATGACGAAGAGCGCGAGAGTTCCAATATAAATCGGTCCTCTGCCGGTCTGCGGCAATTCGGACAGGGGACTTAGAAACATTGGGCCAACTCCATAGCCCAGTACAAACAAGGTAAGGCCCAGAGTGGCAGCGACACGACTGACTCCAAAGACTCTGCTCACGTCCAAGATACCGGCCGTATAGATTGAGGAGCCAATGTAGACGGAAAAGGTCAACAGGCAGATCTCAAAAGTGACCCAGGTCTTCTTAATTCGGCTCCAGTTTCGGGGATTTTCTGGGTCGTCCGAACCATACCAGTCCACAATGTCTGCATTCCGTCCCTTCTCGGGGTCGACTCTTGTGCCACTCAGAGTATTGACCGGGACATATTCGACCTCGTTGGCTGTCGACGCCGAGCCTGACGAACGACGAGAAATCGTGTGCAGATTGGGAATCGTGTGTTGAGAGGCGGATTGCAGGGCCAGTTGTTCCTCGGCCTCGGCTGGGATCGCAGCCTGGTCGTAATATGGTGATGTGCCCTGTTGCTGCTCCTTCTCTTCCGTCGGAGGTGTGGCTGGGCCAGAGGAAGATGTGCTAGGAAGTTCCTTTTCTCCTTGTTGAGGAGGAGCCGTGCTGCCATGAATAGCCATGTTGGCCGACTTCTCAACATTAAGATATCTCTGCCATATTGAAGGATCGCGCTCCTCGGGGTATTGGAGAATCCGTCTACCTGTAACAAGCCGTAGTATCTGTCCGACAACCGTATCCCGGAAGAGGTCCTCCATGTTGCTTAAGTGGCAAGCGCACAGCACGAATATCCAGGTTCAGAGAACCATGTTTGAAGTACGGATGGCTGGGGGAAGAAGATAAATCAAACTTAATAGACATCATTGCAGGTTGCACACCCTCGAGGCTTCATAATGGAAATCGATGCATCCGACTTGGGCCGGACGTCAACATAACCCCTTAACCAGAGCGCGAACAGACCTCCATGCATGGAACAAACAGGCTCAGAAGCGACCTCGGGGACCAGAAAGCGAATGAGAAGCTGCTGATTGTGATTGAATCGGTATGTGAAGTATCCGGGATCGAGAAGTAGACGAAGAGATCTCGAATCGTGCATTCGATAATCAATCGAGTCTATGACGCGGGAGTGGAGATTGCCGAGCCGCCGGCGTTGGATCTCAAGGTCCTGACCCGCAGCCTTGCATGTGCTCGAGGCATGAAGATCCCTTTGCATCCCTGGTTTGTCAGCCAGTCGGTTCGTTCTGGTTCCGACTTGCCTTGCCTGCCCTTTTGCAGCCCATATCTGAATAGTAATCACGGTCGAGACCCAGTTAGTTGCCTTGCCACATGCATCTCCTGGCCTGACTCCTTCAAATTGTGCTCCGAACACCAGAACGAACAAGGCAACTTCGCCCAGAACTCCGTAGTTGTCCAGCATATCTGCCAATCGACTAGTTTCTGGGTGTGTTGGACACATTTTTAGGATGCTGGGTACTCCGCGGCTCCGCTTCAACAGCGTATCTGCAGACGTCCGGAGCCGTCATTGATCATGTCCTCTGTGCAAGATGATGCGGCCTTTGTACAATTGTTCTGCGTCTCGAGAGGGTGTAGAGGTGTGTCGATAATGCGCTAGGATATGAGTGTTCTGTAGTCGCAAGGAGATAATTCCGTGACTGCGACGGGCATGTTTCTCTGTCTTTGACCATGTTTGCGGAAATGCGTGGATGGCGTCGACACGCTGACTGTCGAGCGACAGCGGTGTCACATCCTCGACCATTTCCACTTCAGATAGTTGGTCATAAATGCATTCCGTCCTCGTTGTCATCATCGTCGTCGCCGCCTCCGAACCGATCCATCATTTGTCGCCTTAACTCCTCGTCCGTCAATCTTCCACCTGCAATCCGCTCCGTCTCCGTTGAACTTGTTGCCGCCTCTTCTGGAGCACCGTTCAACTTCCCATTGGTGTCAGCTTCGTGCCATTTCCCTCCCCTTCTCTCCACTTCACGTTTCAACAGCTCTACCCTCTCCCTTTGTCGTTCGATCACGATATGGTTCTCTTGGATGGCGTCCGCGCAGTCTTTGTCCCCCTCTTGCCTCGTGCTTTCCGGCAGGCTAGTGTCTGATCTGATACTATCGATGTATTCTTGAAGCTGCCGATTTGAGCGTTCGAGATGCGCAATCGAATTTTCGATCTCCTGAGCTTTGGAGTACAAGTTCTCGGCGGGAAGGTCTTGAATAGCCAGAGCAAAGCGCTCTGCTGAGATGGGTTGGGATTCGGCCGACATTTTGTTGGAGTGCGAGCGAGTCGTGGATAGCTTGTAAGGAGAAGTTAGAGAAGGTAGCTACCGTAATCCTCGGTGAATCTTCTTGCTGAGGAATGGGTTGTCGCGGTTGTATTCATGTCGACATGTGAGGCGATGGAAGGCGATGATGGGTGCGGAGAACTGAGAATGAGGAATGAGAAATGAACCCCGCCTTGAATTTCCTGCCTCGCTTGCTGCAAACAACTAACAGCTTTGGCATCAACATCGCAACGTGTATACATGTCGCCTCCGACCCTCAGCCACCTAGTGTAGGTGCCTACCACCTAGGTATTCAGCCGAGTCACGCGGCATAGGAAACTTGCCTCCTACTCACATCAGCGGACGAGCGGAGAGGCCATTATTGAAGACAAT